CAATGTTTGGTCTAAAGAGAAGGGCTGAAGTTCAATGGTAGAGCACATGCTTTGCATGGAAATGATCCCAGTTTCAATCCTTGGCGTCTGGTAGGGCTGAGAAAAGACCCCCGAAGCTAGTCAGTGTAGACAATACTGGCTAGATGGATTACTTTGGAAGTATAAGGCAGCTTCCAAAGTTCCTAAGCAGTTTTATGAGGGTAGTTTTGGGATCATTGGTATGGCCTGGAGAAAACAGGAGGAACCCTGCTTACATCACAGTAGCAGGAGCGCCTTTTACCTCTGGAAAGTATGGTTCAGGTGTCTGCATGCGTGGGTACAATCAGAATATGGTTTGCCTTGCTGTTTTTGTCTTGTATTTTCATTATAAGATGTGTCTGTCACTTATCTATTTAAGAATACAAAGCAATATAGTTTTGTTTGTGTGATCTGAAGGAAGACGCAAGATTTCAGGTGAAACTGTTTGGCTGACTGATGCTTGCTTGGCAATGCCCCAGTTTCAAATACCACACATTTGCATCACTATGCAGAAAGAAGATACAGCATAGAACTTAACAGAAAGTTGCCCCTCTGAGAAGCAAATAATTCTGGGTCTGTCTTAAAGGAATAGGAAGCAGTGTATTTGGAACATAGGAGCACCCTGGTAACTATGTCATTTTTTAACAGGTCGGCTTTGGACTGGAACATGTCTCCAGGGAGCAGATTCGGGAGGTAGAAGAGGATCTGGATGAGCTCTATGATAGCTTGGAGATGTACAACCCCAGCGACAGTGGCCCTGAGTGGAAGATACAGAGAGCATCCTCAGCACACCAAAGCCAAAACTCAAGTAAGTGTGACTGGATAAGTTGGACACCTGTGTGTGTGTGTGTGTGTGTGTGTGTGTCAGAGTTGGGAACCAAGATTCCTGTGCGAGATATAAAATTGCTGATACGCTGTTCTTCCACAAAACTCTGGAGCCTGAGTGACTATGCTTAAGTTTTGTTTTCTTCAACATCAAAAAGATTTCTATTTTTGACTGAATGAGGCGACAGAATGCATCACTATGCATAAAGATGATACAGGGTTGCTGTCAGCTGTTAAAATTTTAGGGCTCTTTAACCAGATATCATCCCTTGGGAAAGTGTTGTCTGACTTCTATGGTTTGATTCTGGAACCTTTTGTCAATAATGCCCACTGTTGTTAAAGCTTTCCTCTGCACCTTGAGACCCAGCAACTTCAAAATACAAAGCCCCAAGATTTTCATAAAGCTGAATTATGTGGAAAATATATGTGCATGCTGTGTGATATGCTTGTTGACATGCATGACATATATTCAGACTTGTCCACTTTTAGGGGTGGATTATTTTCAAGCACTCTGAGTCTCTTTTAAATTTCATTCCCTGTCATATTTGGATGGCTGCATGAAATGTGCAGAACCTTGTTCTGTCGTTCTAAGCAAGCAATAGGAAAAAGAAAAGTGAAGTTTGTGCATAATTGAGGCAGGGAGGGGGAGAGTTCTTCCTCTGGCCTCCATTCTAAGGGAAACACATTCTCTTCCAACAGGATTCTTCCACTGTAGCTGCCAACCCACTCAGCTCCCTGTGCAGTCATTCTGTTCCATAGCACTCTCTCTCTCTCTCTCTCTCCTCTCTCTCTCTCTCTCTCTCTGTGTGTGTGTGTGTGTGTGTCTGTGTGTGTCTGTGTTGAAGGGTGGACCTTGCACCCCTCCCTGATTTTGGGATTTGTATTTCTCCTGTTTCCTTTCTTTTTACAGAATCATATTAGTGATTATCTTTTAAACTGAAGCTTAATCTTTGTGGTTGGATTATGTTACAGTTCTGTCAAAAAACAATTGATCCCAACTTCAACATGTGTGGCTTGCCTGTGAGCCATTCTGATTTCCTGTTTTTCCTACCCAGATAATTGAAGCCAGTCAAAGCTTTCTCCCTATGTCTCTACCCCCTATCCACTTGAAACTGAATACTTAAGAAGTCAGCTAAATAAAATAAAAAAATTAGCTGATTTTTAAAAACATATTTAATTTCATTTTGTTATTATACACACACACGTGTGTAGCTAAAGTCAGCTAAATGTCAGTCAGGCTTACAGAACATTTTTTCTTTGGGATGTGGATGATGAAAGAGAAGGAACAGCTGCATTTGCTAGGTTGGGAAGGCATGCCATTTGGGTCTAGAGGCCACATTGCCACTATTTAATTGTAGCTAGTGGACCAGACAGAAAACAAAAAGTGAAAAAGAAACACAACCATATCTACTGCACACTTGTATTAGCTATTTGTATCTTGCCCCTTTTCAACCAAGGATGGTTTGTTACGTTAGAAAGCAGTTTTTGTTTACTAGGCAGCAAGCGCAATAAAAGCAAAATACATAATGATGTGACACAAATGTAATACAGATTATTATTATTTAATTAAACAACAGTAAACTAAAAACAAACACAAACACCTAGCAGGAAGATAAACTTGATCAGGAAAGTTGATTCCTACAAACTAATGAAGTCCCAAATGTCTTGTGGAAGAGGATAGCGAAAAATGAATTCTGAAAGGGAGTGGCATTTCTAAACCACCCATGCCACTCTTTAGAAGGTCCTTGGTAACCCCTACCATGAACACCCCACCAAATTTAAATATAGCAGAACAGGAGCTCCCAATGGAGAGGGTTAAAACGCATGCAAGTTACTATGGAGGAAGTCTGGACCAGCACCAGCAGAAGTACAGTTACAGCTCCTTGTTTAGCTGGCAGAGTTCCTTTCTGTTGGAGACAGGAAAATGAAGCTTGAGACTCAAAAGTAGATTGGGGCAGGTTTGGGTGGTTGTTGTTTTTGCCTTGCACCTGGTCACAGTAGAAAGCAGCAATAGCCAAAGCAACTTTCTCATGGGTTGTCTGGTGAAAATGATCTCACAGCTGAAAAGGATTCAGTTTCTCCCTAGTAACAAGACAGCTTCTGTCCTTTTCCTGAAGCCATGGTCCCTCCCATCTCCAGGTTTTTTCCTTAGGAAACCCCCTCCTGTTCTTCAGAAGTCTTAGTTCATGGTAGATGAGTCTTCCTGAGTTGGATTATAACAAACAAACAACCCAACAGGGAAGGATCAAGGTGAAAGTTGTCATGCACCGTGTGGACCTGATTTACCTGAAGGTTCCTATGCCTGTATTAAGGCATCAGAGCTGTAGTTTGTCCCAAATAGCTTATTTTCTCTGCCTTGGCTCCCCATTTTATGTTTATTTGCCACCTTGAGAGAATCGGAACTCTGAAACAAGAGTTTGGAGTTGTCATCAGCTATAAAGAAATGAAACAGTGGGGTGAGGAGTTAAAATTTGGCAGAGGCTTCCTGCAGTAGTATTTCCCCCAGTGCACTATTTGAGAAGTCAGATTTCAGCCCTTCGGAGGGAGTAAACAATAATGTAGAACAGGAGTGAGGAACCTCAAGCCTGAGGGTTGAATGCAACCCTCCAGGCCTCTCTGTCACTTGGGGCTCTCTCTGTGCCACATCTCTCACTGTCCCTGCTCCACAGCCTCTTCAAACATGTTTGCCTGGTTGGAATTTGCTCTTGAACTATGATAATGCTTCTTCCTTTCATGAATGGAGACCAGAGAGAGGTGTGTATAAAAAGGGTTTCCCATCCCTGTTGTAGATCATCTATAAAAGAAAGCCGTGGTTTGTTCCGCCATTAATGCAGGTGGAAGTTCTAAACGGAGAAGAATAGCTGCTGTGATCTAACTACATTGTTTTATAAGAATGTCAGTCAGCCTTTTTTACCCTGCCCCCTGTAAGAATGTCTCTCTCTACTTCCCTCTTGATTTCACTGCTTTGTTTTATACTAGGCCTTTCTTTGAGGGAATGTCACAGTCAAGCTCCCAGACTGAAATTGGAAGCCTTAACAGCAAAGGGAGCCTTGGCAAGGATGCCACCAGCCCAGTAAGTCACCAGGATGGGGGAGCCATAGATTGTTCTTGTTCACTCTACCAACCTTATGATTATGGTGAATTGTAATTAATGCAGAAGGAAACCAATCTCAGCGTTTTACAAGAAGTATTACCATATTCTACTGGTTGTGTCCATGTGGAAACAATGTTTTTCAGAACCGCTGTTGTGAACTGATTGCTGTGTCCTGTCTCAAATGAATGAGATTGGTCTGTCTTCTGTCTACATGCTGCTTGCAAAGCTAAGATGAACCCCAATCTGCCTCCAGCTGTGTGTGCGTTTGCATGCACACACCTTTATTCCAATGAAGGGGTGTGTGTGTAGAAGGGATCAAATTGGCCAGGTGTAACAGTTCCTGTGATTTATATTCATATTTATTATTTTTAATATTTAAAAGGGGATGGGGCAGCAGGGCAATTTGGAAGCAGTTCTTTAGGTGCTGTTAATCCTGCAATTAAAGTTTAGTAACAAAGAAAATGGGACAACTTGCCCCAGCACCGAAAGCTCTTCTCATAGAAAACTCCCCTCTAGAGCATGGCTTGTGATCAGTGGTGATGGGTGTTGTAGTTCAACAACTACTGCAGGGCCACATGACACCTCAAAACTCTTTGCCTTTCCTCTCCTTCTGACTCCAGCACAAGTTCCCTTCCTGAAGGACTAGAAACCTCTGTTTGGAAACTGGGTTTCTCAGGGATTTGAAGGGTGATTTACCTTCGATGCTAAGGATCAATTGTTGTCATTTCCAATGCTAGGTAGTAAAAAGGTCCTAGTTTTATAATCTGCATAAACAACAAATCACCTAGTGATTGTAAATATGATCCTTCTGAATCACAGCTTCCTTTTTTCATTTTTCCCCTATTTCTCTCCAATGCTGTTCTTTATCCAGATGGAAGCATCCATGGGGGACAAACTGAAACCTGCCCGGAATAAAAACGCAGATGACAGTATCAACGAAGGAGACACACTGGTAGGTACATTTATCCTTTATACTATTGGTGAGGACATTTGCTAACAGCAGTAATCACCTACTTTTATGAGTAATATTTATTCTGAATGCTCTTCCTCTTCCCTTCTCTAGGAAGGAAATGGTCAGGATACATTTGGAGACTCAACCACCACCTTGGTCATCCCAGAAAAAGTCAAGACACCTATGAAGACCAGCAAGGGAGATCTTCAGAGCATGGCATCACCTAGGTAGTATGCATCAGGTTTTGCTTGCTTACATATTGCTATTCTGAAAATTGGTCAGAGCACTCTGCCAGCTACAGCAAGTTTGGGGAACTTGTGGCTCTGCAGAAGTTGCTGGACTCCCATAAACTCCAGTCAGCATGGCCTGTGGTCAGGGATGATGGGAGTTTGTAGTCCAACAACATCTGTAAGGCCACAGATTCCTTCCTTCCTTTAGCAGCAGTATATCTGGAATTCCTATGGCAGGGCAACTAGCAGCTTGTATTTTTGCCAAAGGGATAAAGATGAGGATAAAAAAGGCCATTTCCTCCTCCCTGCAATTGAAGAGCATCTGCCATCTTTTATTGGGAGGTTAGCATCAAATTCTTTAGCTATCTTGAAAAGAGATTTTACTAAATTGTTCATGAGTAATTTACCTAGATTGCATACATACATGATTTGAGTAACACAAAGGGGGGGGGGAGGTGTCCCTACCTCAATGAACTTTTAAGTCACAACAGCCAGGGACAATGGAAGATGCACTGAATGAAATATGAGCAAACTGCAGACACACATATTTAGGCTTCATTTCAATAGGAGCTGAGGACTTGGGGGGGGTGTAAACCAAAGGCTGCACAGAAAAGGAGGGTTTTGAGGAGGGGTTGGCAAGAGGCATGGCTTACGTAGCCTTGTCAAGGCATAAAAGGAAGAAAGGGGTGAGTTGTATAAATGAGGAGGAAGCCCAGGGCAGGTCACAGGTGAGGGGAGGTGTAACAAGGCATAAGGGCAGAGTTTATTTTCAGAATGCTTTCCATCGACGCTGAGTAAACCATACCTGCCTCTCCCAAGATTGATTCATTCTGTGTTCTCCAGTGAATGCTTGCTACCGAACAATGGTGGTGGGTGAGCATGGAAAGATTCACTGGGCTGGTGGCTGCTCAAGAACTTGCCCCCTGTTGTGCATTCTGAATGTTCATGGAAATGTATATATTTTTGGGGTGGGAGTGAGGAGGGTGATTCTAGCTGTGTTCCCTTAGTGGGTAAGGCAAACCCATGCAGCTTCCCACACACTTACACCCATCCCACCACACACCCCATTCATCAGCCTTCCATTCATTTCACACTGTCCCTTGCACACTGTCCCTATTCCATTCCTCTTCTCCCACCTCCTTCCTCCCAGCATGGCAGTTATGCTTTAGAAGGAAGGCCTCACTTGTGCTAAGCCTAAATGTTGCACTGTGGGAGTGCGGCCAAGGAATGGAAACCATGGGCTAGATGCAAAAGAAGTGGGCCTTCACCACCCGTTGCTCCTCATGTCTTTCTCAGTTGAATTGTTCAGTTTTCTTGTGGCTAGTAGTGACTCTTCAATCACAAGAGTTCAGCACTCAGCTTCTGATAGCAAACGCTGCAGCTTCAGCTAAATTCCTGTGACTCAGGCACCTGGGTAAGAATTTGACCCCCAAGTGCTCTGCTCTGTTAGAAGTCTTTGGTTGTTACCTGAAATGTGCCACATTTGCCTTTCTCTGTGGTGCTTGGGGAGGCAGCAGATGACTACTGCTTAAATGCAAAAGTGATACATTCCCAGAGCCCCTCCTGCTTCTCCCTTTGCAAAGCAGACGCTTAGTAACAGACATGCTTGGCAGCACTATATGTTTGTTTGCTCAGCTCCTCCTCTCTTTGTTTCCTTTTTTCCTTGTTCAGCAGTGGCGGCAGCTCTATGATCCACTTATTTCCAGAGGGCAGCAAATTCTCAGAATGAAGCACATGGTTTTGTCCTTCAGTTTGCACCTTTTGCTGAATGCCTCAGATGGCAGCAGAAGGTTGAATGTGCCTTCGGGCTCCCTCAGGCTCATTACCATTCTGGGAAATGTCACTGGATAGAGGGGGGTTTCCTTGTAGCATCCAATTCAAGACTGAATCTACAGCTGTTTTTCTACCTGCTTACATTGTGATTCCTCTGAGAGTTGCTCTCTTTCTCCATATCATGAACCTGCAGTAATTGATACCCAAGGTTATGTGCATTCTTCTTTTTCCCACATTGCCACCAGGTTCCTTATGTTTCTTAACATTCACTTTACGTAGCTGATATAGCCTTAAGGGTGTTCATTTTTCTCTGCAGTAATGAGGGCTAGAAACTTGGCAGTGTGTGTTATTTTTGGGGGTTGTAAGATGTTAGATATTAGATGTCACACTATGGTAGTAAGCCTGCAGGCACAAACACAGCCTTGCAAATAATTTATTGTCTCAACTTAGTGGAGCTAGAAAAAAAATCCAAGGCTCTGTTGGCTGATTGGCTTGCTTCTTCACAAGTATTAAATGTAAGATGGGATCAGTTAGTTCTGAGACTCTGCTAGTTTCTTTGCAATGACCTTGGATCAAAGTTTCTGTGTTCCCCTGCAGGTATAACATGGTTTGCATTCTTCTTTCCATGTTCAGTAAGTTTGGAGATGATGAGGCATTAATATCATTATTTCTCTACCGCTCACAGCAAAATGGACAGTGCTGCACACACGCCCCGGCAGAAACGCAGCACCCCACTCAAAGAGCGTCAGCTGTCAAAACCCCTCAGTGAAAGAACCAACAGTTCGGACAGTGAAAGGTCACCAGATCTGGGTCATAGTACACAGGTAACCAGCATTCAGAGATTGCAGCTCTGGAGCTTAAACACTCTTTCCCTAATTTTGGAGGAGGAGTGGAGGTGGCATTCCTTAAATACAGACTTGATAAAAGCCAACTGTTGTTGGAGTAGCTAGTTGCTGGAAGCTTATTTGAAGTACTGCAGTATCTTTCCAGTTGTATGTAGTCAGCTCTAAAGAGATCCTGAATCAAGTAGGCAAAGTTGTTTGTTTGTTGCATTTACACCCCATTTTTCCTCCAAGGAGCTCCAAGGTGGCATACATGGTTCTCACCCATGCATGCGATCCTCACAAAAACCCTATGAGGTAGGTTAAGTTGAGAGACAGTGACTAATCCTAGGTCACGTTAGGGTGCTTCATGACTGATTTACGATTTGTACCCTGGTCTCCCACCTCCTGGTCTAGCATTCTAATCACCACGCTGGAATTTTTGCTTCTAAATTTAAATCCAAGAAGGGAAGGAGATTGGAGCCAAATGGTTAGTAAAGGGTTAAGAGCATTTGTTATGAGAGACACAAAACCTTTCCCCCCACTATTCCTCAGACTTGGAAGCTTGTCCAAAGTCCTCTTTTTATTTTCTGAGTTTTCTCCAGATACCAACCACTTACGTTGAACTTTTTTTTTTACAGCCACAAGGGCTACAAGTATTTTCCCCTTCACCTGCCCAATAAATATAGGCAGGAGGAATATGCATTTCTCAAATTATAGTGACCTGCTGAGGAGTAAATAAGTTGTGGGGGAGAATGTAATTTCCCATAGTATTAAAAGGTGATCTTAGAAGTATTGTCATACAGCAAGAATAAAAGGAATGCTTCTCTTTCTCTCCCCATTCCCTCTCATGACATATGCCTTCCTGCTCCATGTTGGAGATAAGATTATTTTGCTTTATATTTGAGTTAGGAGTTATGTCAATGAACCATGCTTAAAAAACCATGCAACTTCCCCCAGCAGATTCCTCGCAAGATTGTTTATGATCAGCTGAATCAAATCTTGGTGTCAGACTCAGCCCTGCCAGAAAACATCATCCTAGTGAATACTATTGACTGGCAAGGCCAGGTAAGGAGGTTGTTGCTGTCCGTGTGTCTTTCCGTGTGTCTGTCCTGTTCTTTGCACCATCCCAATCTCTGGCCAACAGAATTAAGTAAATTGGAAAAAAGAATGTGTGCTGTTGTCCCTAACTGGTTCCATTTTCTGAGTGCAGAATGTAGCTTTGCCTGTAGAAACCTAGACTTGCTCCCCAAATATTAAGGAATGCAAAGTATTGTCATTATTATTATTTAATAATAATAAAACAAGAGTAATACTCTTATGCACCATTGGTAAATGTAACAATTTACATAATAACATAAAAAATAGGTAGGTCCCTACCCCATGAAGCTTCCAATGCAAATGTTTAACAGTACTAAGATAATGGGTGGGGATGTCCTATTATTACTAGTTAATAAAGGTAATTTCCCCAGCCATCAGAACCAGATCCTGCAGTTCAGTCCCAGCAGAATAAATTATTCACTTTAAGCACATTTTTTCATTGTTGTTTGATTTATTAGGTAAACTTAATTTAGCATTATTGGCAATCAGAAGTGGTTGTGCTTAATCTGTGTCACTGAAGCTAAGCTACATGGAAAATTAGCACCAAGCGGACTGTGCAATACTGGCAAGAGGATAAGCAGTAGGAATGAAGAGCCATGAAGAAATTTTGCCCCTTCAACTGGCCATTAAAATTCATCCCAAGCCCTGTCTCATGTCAATATGTAGAGAAAATCCATTTACCTTAACTATATCATTGAGGCCATTTGGTTAGAAGCCAGGTGTCTTATATAGAATGAAAGTTAGCATATTCAGAATTTGACAGCTAACCCAGATTGTTCACTGAATGTCATGCAGTAACTGAATGTTTCTGCCAATGGGAAAAGGGGAAGGGTACATTAGTGCTAGTGAGAGGCCATGTCTGGGTTGATTATCTTGGGATTCTGCTTTGTCCTGTTGAACCCTCCTTCGTATAAGTCAGGACCTTAAGTGACTGGAACAAGATCCTCCAAAAGGAGGGAATCATCTTAAAACAAATGGGTCTGTCACACAATATTTCATACCCATTGTCCCATTGCACCTTGATTGCTTTCCCCCACTCTTACCTACTAGGGCAGCAATAAGATGAGTTTCAGATTTCCATCACCTGAGTCGTAACTGTGTCTTGTTAAGCTTGTATCCAGGGTGCTGAATGGTGCTGTGTTACCAAACCTTTTGTCTGAGGTCATGTGGCCAGTGATTGCTAATCAGGGAAGAAGGGGTGTTGTGTGGCAGTTGTGTAAACAGAGCACCAAATCCCTCCACTGCTTGCTTGCTTTGCTTACTACTTGTTTTACTTCCAGTATGTAGCTGATCTCCTTCAGGACCAGAAGAAGCCAGTTGTTTGCACATGCTCCACAATTGAAGTGCAAGCTGTCCTCTCTGCAATCCTCACGAGGATCCAGCGATAGTGAGTGCACAAAGCTATATCTGTGGTGTCCCCATTTTTATACTATGGAATTTGCCCTGAGAAAATGGGAAAGAAAACCAGATTCCAAATTGCTTGAAAAGGATGCCTCAATCCACTTTGATTAGGGCTGTCCATCCTTGTCTGCACTTGAATAACTGAAACATCACTTAATCCTTAGAACTAAAGACTCTTCTCTGGCAGGAAGGATGGGGGAAGGATGGTCTTTATATCTGCAAGGTTTCAGTACTTGAATGTGTTTACAAAGGTGCCTGCTTCCTTCCTAAGGCAGGCACACAGAGAGAAGATAACGGTTGTGTACAAGGCATGCTTTGACTTCAGCCATAGGAAGGGAGCACAATCCTATAGTGAAAGCTGCCTGTATGCAGAGTAAGAAAGGGGGAGGGAGGAAGAATTCAGTGTAAGCGCACAAATCTCCCATCTGGGTTTGATGCCTTGTAGTAAATAACCTATACATAGATGAGCTGCAGATGAGGAGCATCTGTGCCCCTTCTCCACATTTTAAAAGTCTCAAATTCTTTCCAGTGCCTCTTGCAGGACACTCAGTATTGGGAATATGTGTTCTGAAGTTACGGTTCTTATGACCGCAACTCAAAGAGGACACATTGCAGGTCAAGCAAAGCAGACACCTTGCCAAACAACAGTTCATTGATGACAACCCAATTCCTACCATACAGGATTGGCATCGTCTCAGATCTCTGGTGGCTCCACTGCACATTGCTCTAGTATCATGAAAAGCAAAGCAGCTTGAGGGCATTGCTGCAGCTGGAGTAGACACATACATCGGCCTCCCCCTAGTGTTCTCCCTCATTCCTAAAAATATTTTATTTGTTTAATCATTAGTTCTTGCACCTTCAGTAAAAGCAGCTTCCAGGACAGCCACTGTGGAACTTATTGGAAAATATTTTAACAAAAAGCAACCTTCTATTAAAAACCACAGAAGCAAACACAGCATCATTGGTGGGGCTAACTAGAATAATTAAATTGCTTTTGAAATAAAAGAAATAGTCCAGTAGCACCTTAGAGACCAACTAAGTTTGTTCTGGGTATAAGCTTTTGTGTGCACACACACTTCCTTCGATACACAGCTGCTTTTGAAAGGCTTGGGAAAACAAAAGGCTTTAACCCAGCATGACAGTGAGGATGAGAGTCAGGTCAGCCTCCAGGGTGGGTTCTACGTCCAAAAATACACCCTTCACAGCAGTGGCGGAGCTAGGGGCTTTGCCACCCGGAGCGGGTGGGTGGGTGGCATGCCACCCACGCACAAGCATCACAATGGGGGTGCCACCCGCGGTGATGTCAGGGATGGAACCCGGGGCGGACCCCCCGCCCCCTTCCTACACCACTGCTTCACAGTTGCCATCTGCCTGACTTTATAAAATGAGAGTGCTCAGGAAAGGGCCTTGGAGTTCTTAAGCTTAAATGCAGATGTAACCTTTCTCTAGCACATTCTATTGTTACGTGGGCTTGAGTCACCAGAGGAACAGCAACTACGTTGTTTCAGTAACATAAGGACAAGCTCTCAATTTTTCTTTCCATCCAGCAACATAATCCAAGAAATAAGATTTAGTTGTGTGCTCCTGGCTCCCCTGGGCTTCTTTGCTATTTTCATGCCAGAGTCATCCTGGAAGCTGCTGAAATGCAGGTCTGCTTTACCAGCATGACTGGCTGCCTACAAAAGAGGCTCTGCACTCAAATTCCAGCATCTTCCTCTCTCACAGCCATGATGGGAAGTCAATGCCCATGTAATTAGAAGGACCTTTCTTCACTGTATTCTTTGTCATTGCAAGATGACAGTGGTTGGAGAGGGCAAAGTGCAAGTCTCGCAGGACATGATTCACACTATGCTGTTTTGTCAGGTTAACTGGAGTCATCGCTTAACTCTGGAGGCTGTCTAATGCCAGGGCATAGGCCTCAATACATACAGAATAGTAATGAGTGCCTTATGAGTATGTGCTTGAGTACCCACTGTCAGCCACCAAACATGAAATGAATCTTTAAAAGCAATGCCATACAGGATTGAGCCCCAGCACCTCTTAGAAATTAAGCAACACATGCAGAAATTTAGCTGTTGTTAATTTCAAATTCTGCATTATAAAGTAAAGATGCCTATGTATTTGCTTGAGACTACACCTTACTGAAATTCAAGGTAGAAGACATCTCTGTGCTTGTGGGATTGGAGGTCAAGGATTAGGTTTGGCTCTTGCCTCATATCTCCTTGAAGTTCCTGCTCCTCATAGACTCATAGACACTGAGGGTAAAAGTCATGGTTAGGCAAACTAAGGCCCTGGGGGCCGGATCTGGCCCAATCACCTTCTCAATCCCGGCCCACAGACGAGTCCTGGAATCAGCATGTTTTTACATGAGTAGAATGTGTCCTTTTATTTAAAATGCATTTCTGGGTTATTTGTGGGACCTGGCTGGTGTTTTTACATGAGTAGAATGTGTGCTTTTATTTAAAATGCATCTCTGGGTTATTTGTGGGGCATAGGAATTCGTTCATTTTATTTATTTTTTCAAAATATAGTCCAGCCCCCCACAAGGTCTGAGGGACAGTGGACTGGCCCCCTGCTGAAAAAGTTTGCTGACACCTGGAAAAGTAAATGTTCAGGTTCTTAGAGTTTGTAAGCTTTCCTGGTCCTGCTTAAAACAAAAATACTGTGTTACGTGTTCTCATTGTTGTGTCTAGAAGCAGTAAAGCTGTAGGCATCATTGAGGGGTTTAAATGCATTTTTCTCCAGCTCGTCAGTGCCCTCTAGTGGCCTTTGGTCATGCTGCTGATTTACATGTTAAGACGGAAGCTTTGAAGAAGTGCTCACTTGTTCAATGTGAAGGAGCTTAGAGTTCACAAAAAGTGAATCCATCCCACCCTCATAAAATACATTTAAATTGCTACTTCAGATGTATGGAGCATGCAAGGTTGCTAAGAGCTGGGATATGGTCTGCAGAAGGTTGCCGGCACATTGTAAAAAAAAAAAAGGTGCAGCTTCCATTTCACCACTGTGTGGTTTGTAATGTGTGACAGGGAGATATTTATATCTCCTAACATGTGCTTGGGCAGTGCAAATCATAGCTTCTGAGTGCATGTTTACCATATGTGATATCACACATACCTGGCCTATGCACATTAGTGGACACCATGCGAACCCGTGGTGGCTAAATGAGAGCTCATATTTTCCCGTAAAGTATGAAGCAGCCTTCTAACTGAGTGTGAGTGTTGACAAGCTAGTAAATTACAGTGCATTTAAATTAATGGCCTAGGAGCCATAGGATTGTTGGGAAGTAAGTGACTGTGGTCCTGATCCGTGCCTGAATGAGAGAACCTTTAGGGCTATCTACAAGGAAAAGTTGGAGATAAATGAAATAAAGGTCCCTTTGAGAGATCTGACTGTGCTTTCATTAAGCCTTGGCATGTATTAAGGTCTGTGGTTATATAGTCCTTAGTCTGAAGAAGCCAGAGTTGTATTGCTGTGGCACCTCCTATTTTAAGGAAACAGTTCCTTGCAACTCCCTACTTGGGTGGGGTGTAGGTAGATCATATGCATGGTTTTCTTTTCAACACTAAGATAGAATTCCCAGTTCCACCATTTCTGTTTTTTGCCTTCTACAAGTAGATACTACTATGAATGCAGAGCCTGACATACAACTATCTTAACTGCCCTCTTCTTTCTTTCCACCCATCAGCTGCAACTGCAATTCCTCCATGCCACGTCCTGTGAAGGTGGTGTCTATTGGGGGGCAGAGTTATCTCAGCTCCATCTTGAGGTTTTTTGTGAAGCAATTGGCAAACAAGACATCAGACTGGCTGAGCTATATGAAGTTTCTCATCATCCCACTAGGTAATACCACCTGTGCCTGTGGCTCGCTCGCTTGGTAGGTGGCTATTGAGTTACACATCTGAAACCCAATAGTTCTACATTTCAGTGACCCAAAAGCCAGCAGGTGTAGTAGCTCTCTTCTTACAAACAGAATGAATGAGCTGAACTGACCTACCTTCCTCCACTCAGTCCAAGAAATGAAGCCACCAATACTTGCCAAAAGCTCACTCAACACAACATTCTTTGTCTGGTTTTGTTTTTTTTTACAGCCCATGATACCCTTCCTCAGAACCAGTGGACTCAGTTGTTGAGGGCAAAATTTAATTGGTGGGTCTGAGCTTTTAAAAACATGCTTGCTCAGTTTTTGAGGCTGTGTTTTCATTATGATGTGGTACTGAAGTAGGGAATGAAAGGCAAAATGTTGAGGAGGATGTTTCCTTTTAATAATGAGTGACATCTTTTGTTATCTCATACCTAAGTATTTTCTAAAGTCAGTTTGGTTGAGTATTTGGGAATAAGAAAATGCTTAGGTTTAAGCTAAAGCTGGTAATCAATGACAAAAATAATAATTGCTGAACAGCCTCATTTTTTTTGTAGTGAAATATGTGATGGTTTACTTAAAGGAGAGTGAGTTTCCCAATCATTGGGGGTAGTTTTCTTTCGCTAGAAAGAGAGAGATTACCCATTTTTGTCTCTGAATAATAAGAATCACTTTACAAAAGGAGTGTTGTGGTAAAGACAGTTGCAGTTTCTATTTTTTGGAGAGTCAATGGCTTTCTGATGCCAAAGGGTCTGTTGCCTCAGCAGCCATCTGTCGGTGCTAGATATGTGTAGCTTGCCAAGGAAAATCATAGCAACACAAAGGGAGAGGTGGGATTATTAGGTTGTTTTTGTTTTTATTATGTATTTTGTGTTTTTATATTGTGATTTTATGTTATGAACTGCCCTGAGACCTCCGGGTGTAGGGCAGTATACAGATTTAAATAATAATAATAAATAGGCCTTCCTCTCATTTCTCCACCAGGTTCTCACCCGGTAGCCAAGTACATGGGCTCTGTGGATAGCAGATACAGTGGTATGTTTCTTGATGCCACCTGGCGAGAACTCTTCAGCAAATCTGAGCCACCTATGACGGGTAAGAGCAAGTTTTCAGTTCACAGTGAGTGATAGAAGTAACATCTTTCAGAAAGGTCTTCATTCTGTCTTGCCAGACTGAGGACTCTTCTGTATGTGTGCTGCTTTTATGTAAGTTAGAATCAAACTAAGGTGAGAAGCCAAAGAATTAGTATGGGCCTTTTGGTATTACACCAAACCAGTGCTTGGTAGATGTGGACCCCTCCCTGTGTCCAACTAGTGTTTAATAAAGACACTGTTGTCATTGGCAGTCAAAGGTAGGCCATAATGTCATTTGATAGAACAAGCAATTCCAGCCAAGATGCAAAGTCACCTTTCCCAGGACCCTTGCAAGTTTGAAGACAACAGTGAACTACACATTGATCAGCAGGATTATGGACTAGGTGGCAAATTTGGGCAGCTAGAGTTGGGTGGGGCGAAATAATGGCATTTAGCACTGATGTTTACCACACCAGGATGGGGTCCATACTTAACGCTTGTGCGTCTTTTTCTCCTGCCTGCCTCTCCCCATCAGCCACTTCTCTGGCTTGTCACTCTTTGTGCCTCAGTGCAGATACCAACTCATGTGTATCTTAAAGCCAGCATCTTGAAGGTTCTCCCACTTGGTGGCTTGGGTAATGATGAATGCTCTGTGTGCCTTTCCTGCTTGACGCTCTCTTTGGGTTATTTTCTTTCTCAGAGCCTTTTGATGTGGTTGGCCGGATCATGCAGTATGTCAGTGGAGCAAACGTGACCCACCAGCTGCCTGTGGCCGAGGCCATGCTGACCTGCAAACACAAATTGTAAGTCCTTCCCCATCCACCCCTCTGCCATGGGCTCTGGATTTCAGTGTGGTGGGTGAGTGGGCTGAAATTGCCTCACCCACATAGCTAGAAGAACCCTAAATGTGAACTATAATGTTTGCTGTGTCTGTATTTATTGGAAGTTCATTCAGAATCCCCTTTGGCATGCCCTTTCTCAGTCTTCATTTTGTTTGTATGCAAAGCAAGACTGAGACAAACCACTATAAAAAAGTGGAAGGTGGCTTGCTTGTGGTTCTCAAGGAAGGCTAGTCTGTGCATTGCGATGTCCTGGTGAAAGTGTTGTGGGCACATTGCAATCACACACACGCGTACTCACTTCCTCCCTGACAGCAATTAGGTTTGAAAAAAGTGTGTTGGCTTTCTCTCTCCACCCCCAAGCCTAATGCAGCTAGAGATTATCTTCTTGGAGAGTATTGCTAGGGAGGCACAAGTCACTCTTCCCTCCTCAGCTGCAGTTTCCAGGAAGGTCACTTCCTTACACACAGCAATTAAGCCTGAAAAAAGAACTTCTATTGGAGCCAGTAGAAGGTTTCTTTCAAGCCTAATTGTGTGTGGCTGAGGAGGGGGGGTTAGCTAGGGAGAAAGTTAACTGTGTGCCCCTCCCCATGTGAAGCTGCTGTAAAACAATCAGAGCTATAAATTATTTTGGAATCTCTTACATATGGACCCATTACATTATTGGACCCATGTCGTACCCTTTTTTCAAGAGTCAAGAGTCCCAATGTGAAACCCGTTGCCAAATGGAAGCATCCTCCATACTGAGGCTGTAATGTGATGGGACTGACCTTCCAGTCTTCATGTTCTTTTTCGTCTGTTCGTGTGCCTGCAGAATGCTGTGTCTTGAAGCCCTAAGTTTATGTTCGTCTCATTTGTCAGATACGTAAAATAGAAAAGAAGGTGGAGAAAGCCTTTGCCTTTCAGCATTGCTTGTTCTCTCTTTCCCCGTCATTTGGATGTTTAATGGCTGTTTCTTTACCCACAGCCAAGATGAAGATTCTTACCAGAAGTTCATCCCTTTCATTGGGGTAAGAGTTTTACATATCTTGGATTTTTCATCTCTGAATACGAACTTATTTTATTCAGGGCCAGTTTACCTGAACTCTTTTATAGCTCTGGTTACTTAGATAAAGCCTACTTTTCGAAAACAAATGTGTGCGCATTTCTGATGCTGTAGTTTAACTTTGGCAGCCATCTCACTTGCAGAACTATCATTTTCACCTACTGTGTTCCTTACCCTGCTGATGCTGAACGGAAGTTGTGGTTAAAATTCAGATGTGGTGGTATTTAATCAAATGACATTGTGTAATTTAGCTTGGGCTAAATTTATCTTTCTGAGTCGAGGACTTGGCAGTAAGCCTGACTGGATCCCATCTGATGAGTGGTGAAGTCATAAAAAAGTGAAAGCAGGCTTCCCATGTTGAAGATCTCATAAAATTAGACTTGTTTGTTTGGTTTTTAAATACCAGTTTCACTGTCCCTAAATTCAGGCAGCTAGCAGAATGTTGGGGGCGGTTGGCCAGTTTGTCACCTTGCAAATAGAGAGGCTGCATACACGAAACATGGTTTCCTTAGTGCAAATTAATGAATGCCATAGTTAATTTGCATACATTCCAGCCATGGTTTCACCTCCTGGTTTGTGGGTAACCCTTATCCACAGCTATGTTTGCACCAGGGGGCAAAGCATTAAGTTTGCAGATTGCTGTAAAGTGAATGTAGCTTTTTTTAAAAAAAACACCCGACTTCACTTCATCCCGGACGGTCAGAAGCAAAATAAGGAAATGATGACAGCAGCACTGTTGCAATCCACTTGCAATCTGCTAGATATTGGTTAACATCACCATCCCTTCAACACTTCACTGGTTACTGCTGCCAAGAAAATGCCAGAGGTCAAAAACTATGCAGCTGCCTATGAGGAGATGCTCTAGCCCCAAGCAAGGATGAAATCATGTTGGGAAAAGATGGCTTTATTCCCTTGTGGCCACTATGCAACCTTTGATGAGCAGTGCTTGTAGCATTTTTGTCACCACTGCCTTTTTTTTAAAAGCTCTTAAACATTTACTGTGTTTGCATTTCTGTTTTTATTATAAAGTGCCTGTTGTCAGTCAGAAAGTCAGTCAGAATGTAAACATTTCAAATAAAATAAATAGGCTTGCACATTTAAGATCAATGCCCTGTATATTACCCCCCCCCTTTTGTTTCCATGGGCCACTTTGTGCCCTTGCAATATACAATTGCAATATACAAGGCAGCTCACTTTAAATTGAAATGTTACATGAAAATACATCCTGTACAATTAATGAAGCATAAAGTGGGGGCTTTTTGCAGCAACTGTCTGTCTGTGATTTTTGATAGTGACTGAGGAAGGCCAAGCGGGGTGTACTTGACTATATTTTAATGGTTAGAGGGGAAACTGTTGCCTCACCTACATCACCACTGATCTAGGATTATCTTGACTCTTTAATTGCTCATGATTTTGGGGGGTAGATGGTCACAAATAATTATTTGGAAGAAACCTTTTCTCTTGCCAAGGCACTCTATCTCAGCTTTTGCAATTGTGGTGTTATAAATCTTTTGGAGATTTGTTACTTGCAGGCTTCTGCTGCATCCTCAATAATTAAATCTGTTTCAAAGCACAGATCTCCCAAGGGTGGGCACCTGCAAAGCAAAAAGTTATCTTTCCTCTCTTGTGCATAAGCTCCTGCCTGGCACTCAAAGTCTCTGCTAACAAAATTGCTGTCCCTTTTCTCTTCCCACCCCCACTCAAACACATTGGGCTATGTTTGACAAACTAACCTCTGCTTTGAAACAGAGGAGGATCTTAAAGGTTAAAGAAAGCTCATTGTGTTTGCTAGTGTGACCATTAGGTAGACATGAGGGATACTGGCCACTGGGGACAACTCTTTCCCTGCAAAGGAACTAGTGTGCCTGGCAAGAAAGGCGATATCCCCACCCTCCAAAAAAAAACCCCTGCAAAAAGCTTATTTGCTCTCCTTTTTAAAGCACAGAGGAAATATGAGTCAATCTGAACCAGGCAGGGGTGGAGGGAGTGACTCAGCAGACTGTGACCCACAAGTGTGCATTGGAACTGCTGATGTGATGACAACCAATTAAGGCGAAACCTCAGATGCATTAGTTTTTAGAATGCTCTCAAGCCCCTGTGCTATTTACAGAAGGAAAGTAAAAATGTGTGCATTATTTGATGGAACAGTGTGGGGAGCCTGAGAGTTTCACATTTCAGGCTGTTAGCTTTTTTAGAAATGTTGGCAAGTATATCAGGCAGACCTCCTGGTTGCAGGGCACATCTGAAACACAGATCACCTGGTGGCTAGCAAAATCCTTCTCCAGCCAAAGAGGACTCCTGGCACAAAGCAGAAAGCGTGGCCTTGAATCTACACTGCCAGAACAACCAAACCTGAACTTTGTGAACACTTCTCTCATTCCATCAAACAAGCTCTAAGGAACTGCACCAGAGACAGTGTCGAAACAAGGTGGAACCTACACCAAAGATGCAACCTGCAACACAGCTATGATCTCTTTTGGCAAAAGAGAGCAGCAGATCTCCAACTGGTTTGAGGCCGGCATTAAGGACATGGAGCCTGCTATTGCTGCAGAGAGTGAGGCTCTTGTGAACTGCAAGCGTGCAGCCTGTGACAAGGCACTTGCTGCACTGAGAAAGACCAGGAGTGGTGCCAAGCAGATTGCCAGATGATGTGCCAGTGACCACTGGCTAAAAGCTGTGACGGAGCTGACACTGTCACTGCTGACAGTGGCAACACTTAAGAAATGTACAAATGCATGAAGACAGCCTTTGGAGTTTGGAGCAACAGTCAGGAAGACTGCACCACTGAATACCTTGTCTGGAGAGATCATCACAAACCGCGGCAAGCAGATGAAGCAATGAGCAGAGCACTATCAAGAACTGTCCTCATGGGAAAACATGGTCTCCATCATAGCAATTGACAGCATCCAGACTCTTCCTGTCTTGGAAGCGCTAGATGTCTCTCCCTTCCTTGACAAGCTGAAGAATGCCATCAGGCATGTGGTAAAGCCCCAGGACAGGGCAGAATCCCAACAGAAGTGCTGAAAGCAGGTCTCGGTTCCTCCCTCATTATGCACCTCCATGGTCTTCTCTTGCAGTGTTGGGGGAAAGGATCTGTGCCACAAGAGATGTGTGACCCCAGCATTGTGACCCTCTATAAGAGCAAAAGTGGCCACCGTGATTGTAACAACTACCGTGGAATCTTCCTGCTGAGTACTGTGTTATTCACTGACGGGGTCTATCCTGAGTCACAATGCTTCAGAGCTCATGTTGAACAATCAACATGATTTTCTCACCGCACCAGCTGCAGGAGAAATGCTGAGAGCAGAAACGACCTTTGTATGTCGCCTTCATAGACCTGACAAAGGCCTTTGACCTTGTCAGCCCAAAAGGACTGTCCACTTCTCAACAAGATAGGATGCCCACCTAAGCTCCACAAGATGAGCATGTCCTTCCATGAGAACATGCACAGCACCATACAGTATGACAGTTCATCCTCAGACACCTTTATAAGAGTGGTGTGAAACAGGGCTGTGTTCTCACTCCACCTCTCCTTGGCTTGTTCTTCTTCCTGTTGCTCTCCTATGCCTTCAGCTTGACCTAAACCCACATTCCTAGCATGTTCTCACTTCCGTTTCAGCATCATCTATGCTGGTTTGGTCATGTACACAAATGGAAAAGATGACAGGATCCCCAAGGGCATACTCTATGGGGAGCTGGCTTCAGGCAGTAGGCCTGTTGGCAGACCAACTATGCATTGCAAAGATGTTTGCAAACATGACATGAAGGCTGACAACATTAACCCTTCCACTGTAGATGATTGCAGTATCTGGAGACAGTCAGGTTTTGTATCCACAACAGTGACCAGAGGAGGAATGACCACTAGGAGGAGCACAGAGAGAAGATACACTATAGAGCACCTGTGGCAGCAAAACTGGACATCTTCATCTGCCCCACCATCGATAAAACATGTCTCTCCCGTATCAGTCTCTACAGCCACAGTAGGCACTGTAACTCTCCAATGGTTTGACTTTATCTCTGAAGGCACACTCTTCCATTTGTCTCCTAAGACAGATGGATGCCTGCAACAACAGATCAGGCCAAGAGCAGAGGGCCACACTTCTACTATTTAGAATAAGAAAGAGGGGGAGAGAGATTTTCATGCTTAGTCTCCAGCAGCTTCCTGGACTAGGTCCCAGTTTCAGGCCTCAAACAGCTGATAGTAAATACTGAGCTGGGGACAGATATGGGGAGAAAAACCCTAGGCATATGCTATGAATGCCATGTTTTCATTATAGTTCTGGAAGGGTTAACTGTCTTGTGCTTCTCTTCTATAACTTTGAGATAAAGTGACTTTCCTTAGGAAGGTCAAATGTGTTTCTTTTCCACCTGTAGCTAAATTATTTGTCAGGCTTTGTTTTTGAAGTGATTTGCCTTCATTGTTTGCTCTCTCCTTCTCACTCCCTGCCCCCTGCAGGTGGTTAAAGTGGGCCTCATTGAAGACTCGCCTGCGGCTACAGGTATGACACACCCCCTAAGATTCCTGTGCTGCTTAGAGCAAAGACTGGTTATCCTAGTTACTCCACTTCCTCCGTTAAGTGAATACAAGCATGAAATTGGGTGATCTGCTTCAGTAATATTGACTAGGAAATAGCTGACACAGCTTGACAAAGCATGAAAAACCTATGCCTTTTATAGTATGCTATAGCTGTACAGTATCTGCCAGCAGTGATTTCACCAGCTGGAGTGCTAGGAAGGGTCTTAAAAGTGCCTGTAAAAACTTAAGCTACCAGGATGGATCCATCCAATACTCTACACCTAGAGTGGGGAGGTCCTCATGCAGCATTGATCCCACCTCTCTCTGCCAGCCACTGAGCAAGGGTATCTTAAGAGGCGGGTGGGGATAAAGATGTCAAGGGATGCAGCCTGCTGTTCAGCTGACAAGTGTGGAATAAATCCCACGTGGCTATCTATTGCTCAGAAACCCCCAATCCCATTCCTGAGACCGTTTGGGAAATGCTGGCATAAGTATTAGTGCCAGAGAAACTTTAACTTATGATAAATGCCTTGCAACTAAAACTGAAAGGCTCAGCCTGAAAATTAACATTGCTTCTATTTAGCAGGTAAGCAAGATGTGTTCTCCTTCTGCATCTCATGATTTCCTTCCTTTGCAGGAGAGGGAGATGATTCTCCCATCATCAGCCTCACAGTTCCCTCCACTTCTCCCCCTTCTTCCTCTGGGCTTTCCAGAGACGTCACTGCCACCCCTCCATCATCTCCCTCTATGACTAGTGGACTGGCTGTCATGGGGTAAGTCTCTGGGTATGAGGACACTTTGTGTGGATGGTGGTTGTGCTATTTCTCCTTATCATGTTGGGAACCCTGGACACATTTGCTGGGAAAATAAATTATGAAAGATCCTAAGAGCAAAGTAAATGCCACAGTCGGTGTACACACCACTGTCTCTTTACTGTGATCATATATTAAAATACTATTCTAGTCAGTCTCCTGAAGTATCAGGGCATCAGAGCTTAATCCCCTGTTCACTCTTATCTCCAGAGTGAATTCAATAGATTTATGCCTGGCTATCATCAGTCACCACATAATTATCTCCATTGGCAGCCTGCCAACAAAAGACATTCAGTCCGCCATGTTCTTCCCCCTAAAGTCCAAAAGTCCCTTTTTCAAATATCGGTGTTGTCAGCGCAAATATGTCAGTTAGCAATAGCTTTTTCAACAATGCAAAACTTGCTCATGTTTCTTTTCACTTTTTCCTGTCACTTGATCACAGGTCCCCCAATAGCCCTTATGGCGATGTCATTGGGCTGCAGGTGGATTATTGGCTAGTTCAGGCCACGGAAAAAAAGAAGGAAGGGGAGAAGAAGGACGCCAGCTCCAAAAATACACTCAAGAGTGTCTTCCGCTCGGTGCAGGTGTCACGGCTTCCAAACAGTGGGGAAACCCAGTTGTCTGGGACCATGGCCATGACTGTTGTCACCAAAGAGAAGAACAAGAAAGGTGAGTTATGGAGAGTGGCACTTCCTCTTTACTGGGGGTGCTCCTTCCTGGAGGGCAAATTGCCAGCAGGCCTTTGCATGATAGCCTGCCCCTTGAACCATTTAGCACTGCTGAAGACTTACCCTGCAAGTCTTGCCATAAGCGTGCCAACTCTTCTACTTCGTGTTTTAAGAGAGAGACTCGTTTTCACTAACTGGGGGTCCTTGTGCTTTCTAGTTCCCACAATTTTTCTGAGCAAGAAACCCAAAGAGAGAGAAGTAGATTCCAAGAGCCAAATGATTGATGGAATCAGCCGGCTGATCTGCTCTGCAAAACAGCAGCAAACTATGCTGAAAGGTAATGCTTGCCCCTGGGATCAGGGATGCCTGATGGTATTGAAGGTGACTGGGAAGGATTTCAAAATGGTGAGGGACCTGATAAACTAGAAGGGATTTCATTATATTATTTATTTATAATAATTTATAGTGGGGTAGGGAATTGGATCCAGCCAGAGAGCCAGATCCAGAAGTGACCAACTCTTCATTTCTCAGCACAGCTGTTCTGTTGGGGAATTCAGTGGATTTAAGAGGTCCCAGATTCAATAACTGGGACCAAGCAGTAGGGGATGGGAAAGGTCCCTGCCCCTAACATCCTGGAAAGCCACTGCTAGACAGTTTATCCTGAGTTCAATGTACCAATGAAGAATACTTGGTATAAGACAGCTTCCTATGTTCATAGGAATCGTCTCTCTTCTCTCTAGTTTCCATTGATGGCGTGGAGTGGAGTGACATCAAGTTTTTCCAGCTAGCTGCCCAGTGGCCAACCCATGTGAAACACTTCCCTGTCGGACTCTTTGGCTCGAAACCGGCCTGATGATGACAACACGGTGGTCCCTCCTGTGTCCTCATCACTCTGCTGCAATGCGGCATCACCTCTGTCCAAACCATCAGCCAAATCAGAGCTGTCCTGTGGTAACTTCACCCATGTTGCATTACTGTGTGTTGATCTGGTCTTGCCAGGGAGGGACCAGCCTCTGGTGCCAAGAGAGATGCTACATTTTTGTCTCCAGCCAAGGAGCCGCCCGCCAATTGCTTTCTCATATTTTTCTGCCACATCGTGTCGTGGGTGTCCAGCCTCCATCTGTGCTGAGTGCATTTCATTTTGGGAACGAATCCCAAAATATTTGGATTCTCCTGGTTTCCCATCACTCCTGGCGCACACTCCTTCTCTGAGCTGGCATGCCTGTGTCTTCCTGAAGAATGTGTTTGAGAACTTGTGGTCCACAAAACTTCGCCTTTAACAATATTGTTCTTTTTACATTTTAGCTTTTGCTGAGCCAACCGAGAGCTTTACTGAGCACCCACTCTCAAAGTTCTCCTTTTCAACCTCAGCCTTTCCAAAAGCACAAAGCTTGCAAAGCCCACATTGGCTGTTGTGTTAGCAACCAAACTCAACCCCATCTGGCTCTTGCCATTAGTAGGCAAGGCCCTTTCTCCTGCCGCCAACCCATCCTGTGTCACATTGCTAGGTCAAACATGCCAGGTTGGTGGAAGGAGCCTCAGCAATCTTGCGCGGTTGCCACTCCTTGCAAAGATGAGGAGCAGAAAAGTCAGTTGTAGGGAGCTAGAAGCAGACACTTTTCTTGAACAGGCACACCCACTGCTCTCCCATGGCTGTGTCCCTTCACTCTTTCATGTTTGTACTGCTCTTTTCTCACACTTCCCCTCATCTCACCTTCAAAGTGTTTTTTAAAAGAACTTAGGTCACCTAAGATACATTTCCATTTCTTTGTAAGACTCCGCTTGCTAGAGTGGCATCACAGTGCAGTGAGGGGTGTGGAAGGTTGTCCACCATACTGAAGAGTTGGATAACTTCATTAGACAGCCTGTCCTGAAACTCACCCTGTTCATCTGTGTTTGGCAACAGTTCTGAGAGGTGTGTACTCCCAGCCACATGCCACAGTCAAGAGGAGAGGCTACACCTTGTTCCTCTGCCCTCTTTCTGGCTCCTGAGCCTGCCTTGTGGTGTGATGCATCTCAGCACAAGGAGATACTTTGGGGGGACCTGCTCAACCATCTGTGCAGTCTACTTGTCACAGCCATTTATAAGGCGTGGTTGGGATCCCAGCAGCATTCCTTCCCTTTTGGCATTTCAGTTTTGGGGTTTTTATTTGAAGTGGCCCCATGTTGCAGAGTCTCTGGGAACTCTATGTGCCATACCAGAAGTAGCAGACTTTGCCAAGCATTCCTCTTCTGGGCGCTCGCCTTGGCAGGCAAGAGATCAGCCTTTGCCCTGAGACTTGAAGGGAGCAAGTTGAATAGCTGCAGGGGTTGGATGCATGGCTGAGACCAGAGGTTCCTTGACAGTGATGCAAAATAGCTTTACCAACTGCAACATAGTGATGCTTAAGGAAGGCTGGAGAAAAGGCTACTTTTGTGTAGTAAGCCTGCACTTCAGAGGGCAGTTTTTGTGTGCTTGATACGCACTTCTGTCCCTCAAAGACCTTCCCACCTTCCTTCTCCAAGCACTGGCACTCTTGTTTTGTTTTTTTGCTAAGGTAGTAAAACATGAAAACAAACAGGGGCCCCTGAAGCTGGTATTGCAGGGGACAAATGGGAGCCATCTTGCCTCCTCTCCTAGAGCACTTTGTCAGCAGCTCTGAGGTGCTTCCAGGGAGCTGTGCTGCTTTTTATCTGTTCCTGACCAGCAATAAATCAAACCACCCCTACTGTGGGGTTTGGCAACACATCATCAGCCCACATTATTGGCTGTTCGAAACGGCTTTGGGGCCATCATAATGCTTAAGCACTTAACTGCTCGTAGCATACAGTGTGGCTCTGTCAAACAGTGGAGCGTACAATCCACATTCAGTCTTTTAGATGGTTTTTAGATTTTTGAATCCACATATATTTTCAGAGGCCCCAAAAATTCAGCTTAAAGTAACTGTGTGTGTAAGCAGAGTGAAATTTTGTCTAGCTGGAAGTGGTGATTCTGGTTTCTAGGCTATTACAGTGGAAGGGGAAATGTGGAGGTGGCAGGGAGAGAGCTGGCTTTATAAATAACTCTTGAGCAATCTGCTCTGCTTCCCAGATTGAAAGAGGAGGACCCAGGCAAGCTCTTTGCCTTCAGGAAGTTTCTCCCCAAGGCCAGTTCTTTTAGGCTTGTCCTTGAGCCACTGCAGCTGTTTCTTGAGAGAGAGATCCCAAGAAGAATGACCATAAGTACCAGCAGCTTTCTTCACCTCATGCCCCTGGGTGGGGTGTCCCCTCCGAGGCTTAACTGGCAGTGATCCCCTGGATCGGATAGCATCCCCCTTGTTGTGGATTCTCGGTGGCAGATAAAAAAACCTGTACACTTTTTTCCGTTTCCTTCTCTTGGCTCCTGCTGCTGTGGCTATGTTACAAATGTGGCTTTTGTACTACTCTGTCCCAAGCAATGCTCTCAGAGCCACAAAGTGAACTTGATCTTGTGCTTCTGTCCTAAACACTGCAGCCCCCTGCCTCAAGGAGGAGATGTCACAGATATCTTGGCATGCTACATATTTCCTTTTGAGTTAGATCTCTCTTTGTGTCCTCCCCACTCATTGAATACTGAATAAACTCCTTGGCTCAAATGTGAGAAAGGAGGTTCATAGCGATATGTCACTTACCCCATGGGCTTTGGGGGCAAGTACTGCTTCCTCTGCATGAAAGGGAGCGGGGTGCCACCCAGAACATGGGGTATTTAAATAAGCACAACTCTGAACATTTTCTTCCCACTTGCTCTGTAGAAATGTTTCCTGTCTCATTTTCATATTCATTTGCCTTCCTCCATCAGCAAATGTCACTTCCAGCCCAGTTGCTTCAGGTCAAGGGTCTGAGAGAGCCTCCAAAAGGCAACCCATTTCCAAGTTGGGAGAAGCAAGGGAGCAGTTTGGCTCCAAGTAGCCAACGTCCAGGATTCTTTGACACTTTGCCATGGAAACATCCACCCTAATGGGCTTCCATTTTAAGATCCCGTTTTTTTAGGTTCGGCCTGTGAAACTTGCGACCTTCCCTAAACTGAGCGGGGTCCACCAGCAGCACATGGTAGCACACCAGGAGCTCAGTAAGCTTGCTATTGTTGTTCAGAACTTTAAAAATGAAGAGATTGTTGAGCACCTGTCAGGCTACAGTCAGTGGTGGGCAGGTAACAAGCTGTGCATGTCAAGAACAGGGTGGAACTTACGAGTGGATGGGATTCATTCAGCAGCCAATCAACTCTGCCTTCACCATGGTTTAATTTTCATGACCTCCTCTTGGTTGCCTTTGGCCAATCGGAAATGGATGTGGGAGAAGGGCAAGTAGTGACAGAAGTCTGTGTCTGTAGCTGCATCCTGGGCTTCTGTAGAAGTGCACACTAGTGCCCCCACCCACTCCACAAGTCAGATTGGCGCAGTGTTGACACCGTATGTGCCCATCTGTCAGTCAAACCAGCGCAGGACCGCCTCACATGTGTTGCATTATTCTTTGTGGCCTGGCTGTTCAGATTCATGCTTTGCAAAGGCGCGCACACACTCTTGCTCTCACAGCTGTGGTCTGGGACAGAGAGGGCTTGTTAAGCTTGGGCTTGTTAGAATTTGTGAAACCACTTGCAGGACTAGGGGCAGACAGCTGGCTTGGTCCCCCCCCTTTTTCCCTTTAGGTTCTCCACTATTTAACCTTCCTGCACCCATAATGCACAAGGGAGTGGAAGGGAAGTTCATTCCAAGAAGCAGCTGTCCAGATAGCTCTGGAAACCAAGTCCTGCAGCTGCTTGCTTTGGAATGGGTGTGCATGCAGCATCCTCCCAGTGCAAAATGTTGGCACTGTAGGAAGGATCCTGACACACTATCCAGTCCCTTGGCTTACCATCTCCCCTTCTTAAGTGGGTGGCCCTTTCTCTTCCCTGAGGAATGCAGGTTCAGGAGGCTAAGCTGAATGGATGTGCCTCCGAGGATGGATGGGCAGGAGTCGCTCCCACATTAAGCACTTTGTCCTTTGTGCCTAGCGAAAGGTGAAAGTCACAGACTCCTAACATGGAAGGAAAATCACCCTGCCTCAGGGACATGCAGATGGGCTAGCAACTCCAAGAACCACACACATCATATTCATTCCCTGAGCATCATTTCACTTGGTTCCTCCTTACCCCAATACCCACCTACCACTCCTGAGCCAGCCCCCACGAAAGAGCCTACCAAAGAGTACACTCTTCCCCAGGGAATGACACTCCCAGGAAAGAGCCACGGTGGGGAGGCACTGTGCTCCAGGGAGCTCTCCAAGGTCTCTGTTCATTGCTTCCGTACAGCCTTGCCTCAGGCCTAATTTCTCATGTCTCGACTGTTACAGTAAGTGTGTCCATCTGAGGACCATTGTGTTTCCTGTTTTTGCTGTGTGGATTTTGCACATTCTGGAACTTTTGTCTATAAATTCAGATTATCTGGATTTTTGTGTCTGTTATGTATCCCAGCCACTGTACATAAATATGAGTTTTGTATATAATCTCATTTTATTCTCCTTTCTTTTTGTAAGTGTGTTGATTCTCTTGGTTTGTACTGCAGGCTCCAAACGATCCACATTAAGAATCTCTGCTTGTTTAAATTTTGGAGCCTTGTTGGTATTTGATGCATTCTATCCTTGGCGGGTGGGGTCTGTTGTCTCCCCACTCCCACTCACTATTTTTGGAGTTTTTCATTAAATAAATTGTGTTTTTTAAAATAATACTTTAAAATCTCAAGCTTGATCACTTTATGCTTTAGTTCCTCCTCAAAGCTCCTTGGATATGGTCCACATGAGAAAAACAAAGGGGCAATATGAGAGAACCAGCCACTAAGACTGCACTTTTCCAAAATCTAAAAGCAGAGAACTGGGACGGGGAGGCCTTATAGTTGGAATGGAGAAACTGCATTTCAACTTGCTATGTTTTGCTTTTCTTTGCTTTAAGGAAATGCACAAAGAATGTGAATACTTTGCAACTGGCACAACAGTCCTCTGGGGGAAAACAAAAGCTTATAAATCACAGAAGCAAAAATATTCCAACACTTTGGCCATGGGTAACAGCAGTGTGGAATTTAAAGCTCTCCTATACCTTATACCAGGGGATGCGGGTGGCGCTGTGGGTTAAAACACAGAGCCTAGGACTTGCCAATCAGAAGGTCAGCGGTTCAAATCCCTGCGACGGGGTGAGCTCCCGTTGCTCGGTCCCTGCTCCTGCCAACCTAGCAGTTCGAAAGCACGTCAAAGTGCAAGTACATAAATAGGTACTGCTCCGGCGGGAAGGTAAACGGCATTTCCGTGCGCTGCTCTGGTTCGCCAGAAGCGGCTTAGTCATGCTGGCCACATGACCCGGAAGCTGTATGCTGGCTCCTTCTGCCAGTAAAACGAGATGAGCGCTGCAACCCCAGAGTCGGTCACGACTGGACCTAATGGTCAGGGGTCCCTTTACCTTATACCAGAGCTTCCCAACCTTTTTGAGTCCACTGCTCCCTTGACAAACTACATTTTTCTGCAGCACCCCCGTGGGGCTTAGGAGCTCAATTATGTCACCCTTGCCTGTAGAGCTGGCAGTCTCTCACCCTTTTTCAAATACCCTCCCTTGTGGAGTGTTCCCTCAGCCTCCCCTCCTTTCCCCTCTCCTAGGGAGTCCTCTGGGCAGTTACAGCTCCTGCCCCTGGTCTCTGAGCTTTCCCCCAACCACACCCCAAAGGGAGGTGCCTCCTCCCACTGTCCCACAAGGGTCTGGGTAGCACCCCCTGGCCAGCCCCAGAGGCACCATTTGTCTGTGGAGCTTGTAGCCAGGGCTGCTGCACCAAACAGCTGTGCAAGCCTTTGGGAGGCAGAGATGCAAGAGGGCATCAGAGGAGGGAGGGAAGGAAGAAGGGACAGAGGCCAGTGTTGCCCTTGGCACCCCTGACCCCTGAATGATTCAAGACACCCTAGGGTGCCATGGCACTCTGGTTGAAAACCACTGCTTTATACAACAGGTGTTTGCGTGCACTGGTGCCAGTCTAGAAAGAATTGGGAACCCACACGGGAGGGAAGGTCCCCCTTTGCTGTAGAACCTCAGCCCAGATGAGCAGAGTTCCTGGCTGTATGCTTCCGCAGGACACAAATGTTCCTTCAGCTGCTTCTCAACTACTTTTCATGACACGTCAGTCAAAAACTATCCTTATCTTTAATATGGTCAGAAAGCCATAAACATGGCCATAAAGCAATCTAGATAAATACATAAAAGATACGCAATATTAAACCACGTTGCTAGGTCCATTATCTAAATGAATTTTATTTTGTTTTTATTGCTGGGTTGTTTGCCATTCTGGGCTCCTTTGGAAGAAGTGTTAGGATATAAACTTAGCAGCAGCAGTAAGGCATGTTATAAAACTCACGTTGGGTTAGCTAACAAGGCACACAAATAAAACTACTGTAGGAAAGAGTGTACAGTACTAGATAATTCCTTTAGCAACATACACATACGTTATCCTGACACTCCGCCTCACACCCATGAAAGAATGGGATTGCTTTTTTTAAAATTGCAGGTGCCCTATGGGGTTTCTGGAATAATTATTTCAGTACAAAGACTTAAAACACCTGTCTACTAAAATATCTTTTCAGATTTTAAGAAAGTTTTCTAATCAAGTAACAAACTGGTCCTGCTGTGTAGGTATTAGGAGCTTCCTTTGAAGAGAAAATTTATTTAAACTTCCCACATAATAAGCATAGGAGGAGAGGAACTTGCAGTATAATCCCACGAACGTTTATGCAAGCAGCAAACCTCCCAGAGTTCAACGAAACTGATTCTCTTGTTAGTGTGTTTGGCATTATTGTCTTTGGTATCTCTAAAAAGAGAAATCCCATCCTGGGGGGCTGCCACTGAGCAAATAAAAAGAGATGATGGGGGCAACAGCAGTAGGCAGCTAAAAGAAATGGAGGAAAAGCACGAAGTTCTTACCTACTTTAAGTGCAGGCTCACCCACAAACATACTAAATATTGCCACCACAATCCCTTCTCCCCATTCTCTCTCCCCTCCTTCTTCCCCCACCTTATTCTGTATAATGTCTCACATCAAATGTAAAAAAGACTTTACGGTTTGGGAAAAGAAAAAAAAAGACTGCACATTGTTTGTGAACCAATAATATATATATTATTGGTTCCAGTAACAAGAAGCCGAAAGCACCAGCCTGAAGATGACGAGTGAGACCTCGTCGAAACGTCGCCTAGACACCCCAACTTCTACACGGGAAGACACCCGAGGACACCAAAACCTGCATTCCTGTACCCGTGAAAATCTACGAAAGCAAATATATATATATATATATATATATATATATATATATATATATATATTTGCTTTCGTAGATTTTCACGGGTACAGGAATGCAGGTTTTGGTGTCCTCGGGTGTCTTCCCGTGTAAAAGTTGGGGTGTCTAGGCGACGTTTCGACGAGGTCTCACTCGTCATCTTCAGGCTGGTGCTTTCGGCTTCTTGTTACTGGAACAGAGCAGGATCTCAGTGTTTGAGTTCCTATAAATACTGTTGAGGGGGTGTGGTGTATAGCCTCCAATGTTCTGGGCAGAGAGGAAGTTCCCAGGCTAGTGTGCCTATTCTTCTTTTGTTCCTTAATTACTTGAGGGATATCTTGAGTGATTTCTTGAGTGATATTCTGAGTACCATTTAGGTGGGTCATTAGGTGTGGATTAGTTGCTCAAGCCTTCGTGTCTTGACCTCTTGAACTTTGTGAAAAGTTTTTCTGAGAAGATGGCTGTACTGCACTTAGTTGTGCTCTGGCTTGGCTTCGGGTATAGGGGCGAGCTGTGGTTTTGTGCCCTGTGCCCGTCAGATCTGTGTAGGGATTGCAGGGATCTGTCAGATCTGTGTAGGGATTCCAGACCCTCTCCACAGATAAATTACAGACACCATCCAGTAGCCAAACCATGGTGGCACCTCCGGATGCTGCACCCCCCTGCAATCCCTACACAGATCTGACGGGCACAGGGCACAAAACCACAGCTCGCCCCTATACCCGAAGCCAAGCCAGAGCACAACTAAGTGCAGTACAGCCATCTTCTCAGAAAAACTTTTCTCAAAGTTCAAGAGGTCAAGACACGAAGGCTTGAGCAACTAATCCACACCTAATGACCCACCTAAATGGTACTCAGAATATCACTCAAGAAATCACTCAAGATATCCCTCAAGTAATTAAGGAACAAAAGAACAAAAGAAGAATAGGCACACTAGCCTGGGAACTTCCTCTCTGCCCAGAACATTGGAGGCTATACACCACACCCCCTCAACAGTATTTATAGGAACTCAAACACTGAGATCCTGCTCTGTTCCAGTAACAAGAAGCCGAAAGCACCAGCCTGAAGATGACGAGTGAGACCTCGTCGAAACGTCGCCTAGACACCCCAACTTTTACACGGGAAGACACCCGAGGACACCAAAACCTGCATATATATATATATATATATATATATATATATATATTATTTTTTTTAAGTAAACCTGGCTCCACTCAGTGGAACTTACTCCCAGTTCTAGTATGTGTTGTATGGTTGCTATACTCATAGAATCATAGAATCATAGAGTTGGAAGAGACCAGAAGGGCCATCGAGTCCAACCCCCTGCCAAGCAGGAAACACCATCAGAGCACTCCTGACATATGGTTGTCAAGCCTCTGCTTAAAGACCTCCAAAGAAGGAGACTCCACCACACTCCTTGGCAGCAAATTCCACTGTCAAACAGCTCTTACTGTCAGGAAGTTCTTCCTAATGTTTAGGTGGAATCTTCTTTCTTGTAGTTTGGATCCATTGCTCCGTGTCCGCTTCTCTGGAACTGATTCTCTCATTCAGCTATACACTGAGGGAGTGAAGACAGGGGGAAACTGGTACATGGAAGCTAGTGTGGTGTCGTGGTTAAAGCCCTGGGCTAGGACCAGGGGGTGCCCAGGTTTAAAACCCCACTAAGCCTTCAGGAAATTCATTGCGTGACCTTGGGCCAGCCACTTCTCTCAGCATACGTGGCCGCATTCACACTGTACACGTAAAGCACTATGATGCCACTTTAAGCAGCCATGGGCTCCCTCAAGCATTTCTGGGAGCTGTAGTTTAAGGGTGCTGAAAGTTGCTATTCCCCTCCCAGAATGACACTTTTCAGAATGGCTTAACAATCACTTGATCTTCATAGGGGAAACTTAACCAAAATCAATTAACTAAATCAGCCGACCTACGGAATCGGTCTCTCTGCGCTAGGATCATGCAATCCCCCCCCCCCCGCCCGCCTTCTAAGAAACCAATTCCTAAGCAGGGGGGTCAACCGGACGCCAGAGTAAGAGGCCTCCCCACAAAGCAGCCAAAGGGAAGAAAAGGCTCCCTTCCCCCTAAAAAAGAGGGGACTTGGGAGGAGACCTTTTTGCACGCCGAGGAGGAGGCGATCTATGCACAGTTGCAGGGCGCTAAACCACATCGCACAACGAAGATTTGTTTTGGAGCAAACTTGCCTAGGATCGCCCTGCGGCCGGGGTGGCTCACCGTTTTAAGAATTAATTTGCGAATTGTGTTCTGTTTGCATTTTGTTGTTGCTCCAGAGAACTCCTGATATGAGGCGATCACCATAAAATGTAGCGAATAAATAAAACGAGAGCCCCCCCCCGCCCCTTTAAACACAGCGGGACTTTTCTTTGTAAAGATGCACCGTTTCCCGCTCATTTAACAAAGTGTGCTTCTTGGGAGAAAAGCAATGACAAACCTAGACAGCATCTTAAAAAGCAGAGACATCACCTTGCCAAAAAAGGTCCGTAGAGTTAAAGCCATGGTTTTCCCAGTAGTGATGTATGGAAGTGAGAGCTGGACCATAAAGAAGGCTGATCGCCGAAGAATGGATGCTTTTGAATTATGGTGCTGGAGGAGACTCTTGAGAGTCCCATGGACTGCAAGAAGATCAAACCTATCCATTCTGAAGGAAATCAGCCCTGAGTGCTCACTGGAAGGACAGATCCTGAAGCTGAGACTCCAATACTTTGGCCACCTCATGAGAAGAGAAGACTCCCTGGAAAAGACCCTGATGTTGGGAAAGATGGAGGGCACAAGGAGAAGGGGGCGACAGAGGACGAGATGGTTGGACAGTGTCCTCGAAGCTACCAGCATGAGTTTGACCAAACTGCGGGAGGCAGCGGAAGACAGAAGTGCCTGGCGTGCTCTGGTCCAGGGGGTCACGAAGAGTCGGACACGACTAAACGACTAAACAACAAGTGTCGGGGGGGATAACCCCTCCAGGTGGAGGGGCCCGTTGCTCCACCCGGCCGCCTTTACTGACATATAAAAACACGTGCCAGGACTTACTTATTAAAGATACCAAAGGAAAAGCACCAAGTAAACCGGTAGCAACTTCGGAAAGAGAACCCACGGCATCCTTCCCATCCCCTTTAAGGCGGGAAGGCAGGACCGGCGGCGGCGGCGCTCCTCCTGATTTGTCCTCCGGCACTATCTTCCCGGCCGGCCAGGTTGCCCCCTCCCCTTTAAGGCGGTTGTTTTGGGGCGGGGCCGCGCGGCTGCCGGTGCCGCAGTGCCTGCCGGGAAGGATGTGAGGCCGCCGGTGGCTGGAGAAAGAGCAGAGGCGGCGGTGGCGGTGGCGGCGACGAGGACGAGGGAGGCGCGCGCAGGTGCGTTGTGTCGTGTCGGCGGTGGTGCTGAGCCGGTGGGCGGTGGGCCTCCTCGGTCTGCAGAGCCCCCCATATATGGCGGAAACGAGGGGGTGGGTGTTCGCGCCGGGAGTAAGTGAGGGGAGGGGGGGTCAGGTAAGGAGTCGTTCCTTCCCCCCCCAAGTAAAATCCCCCTATAGGATGAAAATGAGGGGTGGGTGGGTGGTCGTTCGTCGAGTCGTCTTGTGTGTCCCCCCCCCCAAGCAAAAAGCTACTCGAGTGGCTGGTTGGTTGGGCAGGGAATCTCCCTTCTTCCACGTAAAAGCATTACCCCCTCTACGCCAATAGGGTGGAAATAGGGGGGGGTTCTCTGCATGACCCCCCCCTCACCGCTTAGGGTGAAAAGGAGGGAGGGTGGCTGCCCAGCATATAAGTGAGAAGTGGTTTGTCAGACAGCTCCCCCCCCCCCAAGGATGAAATGCGGACTGGCTGGTGGGATACTTGAGCAAAAACTGCCCCTTGCAGAAGATGGGGCGGGTGGGTGAGTGAATTCCCACAGCAGAGGAATGTATGGTGTTGCTACCCCCCCCCCCATAAGTAAATTGTGGTCCTTCCTTCTCAAATCTTCCTCCAACTGGTGGGCGAGTTCTTTCGGCTTGTTATAAGGGCTTCTCAAGAAGCCCAATGGGGCAGGCAGAGGAGACCCCCACCAATTTCATAAAGGTGCCAGCAGAAACACACATTATGAGTGGGGGGGGATGAGTTATCTCAGACGAAAGAGAGGGACCTGAGATAGATGTTCCTTTGCGTTTCCAAAAAGATGGGGGGTGGGATGGAGTGGGCAAGGACAAAACCTCCTTAAATGGAGGGGTGAGTTTTCCCAACCCAGAAGAATGAGGAATGTGGTTAGAGGGGAGCCTTGTAAGGGATTCCCCCACACAGCAAAAAAAAAAAAGAGACAGGGTTGGGTATTCAGAAGTTGGGGGGGGGCTAATTAGACACTCTTTTAAAAGGATGAGGGCCTCTCTAAACTCAAGAAAAGGAGATAATTATTCCCCAAAAGGAAGGTAGTTGGGTAGGTAGAAGAGGGGACCCCCTAAGTCAGTCAGAAAAGGCATTTGCAAATCTTCAGCTAGCAGGAATAGAGGGAGATAGAAGTTATTAGAGTTCTCTTGATAAAAAGAGAGTGGAGGGGCACTATTGTAGCAAGGAGCTGCAGAGTGTCCAAAATATGGGACCTAATCTATTGTGTGTATCTTCGGGGGGGGGGAGAGTGTGGATACCTTATGGGTTGATTTGAGACAACCCCCTTCAAGGAAAGGGTGACGGACGTAAAGTGTGGCACTCTTCTCCCCCCCTCCCCCAGCCACAAAGTAATCATGGATGAAAATGCTTCTGGAGTTGAAGTAGAGAATCCCCTTTAAGATGGTGGAGTTTCAGAAACTTTTACCCCAGAAAGAAGAGATGGAGGCTCCCAGGAGAGAGGGGGGGGGTGTTATATAGGTGATGTGTGAAGGTGAGAAAATATTTGAATAGCAGGAGATCTACCTGCAGAAGGGCATTTGCTGGGCCACCAGAGAAGAGGAATGGAGACTTGTATACATCATTGCTCTGCTGTAGTGACTCTTGTATCGCCGTCTATTTTAATTTTTTTAAAATATATAATATAAACCACCTTGGGAACTTTGGTTAGTAGGCAGGTATAAATACTCCTAAATAAAAATAAACAAAAGAACAAGGAGTTCCCTTTCAAAATGTGAGACAGGTGTCTAGGGAGGTGATGAAGGAGAAGGGAATCGCCCTCCTTCCTGCCTTACCATAAGAAGGTGGGAGGCATTATTAGGATCTCCACAAAGTTAAGGTAGAGGTTAAGGTAGTACCCTACCTTCAGTATGATCAAAGAGAGGAGAGACTTGATGTACCTTGAAGGAGCACAGTCAAGGCCTGCAGAGGAGGAAGGAGGCATGTTGCTAACTGGTTGGGCAAAGACGGCTGAGAGAAAAGGAGGCATGGTGGGTTGGTTAAGAAGTTGGGAAAAGAAAGGGGGGAAAGCAGGAGGATTGAAAACCCCCCCAATAAATTAGAGGGATTCTGCAATGCCTCAAGGGCATAGAGGAGGTAACTCAATCAATGACATGATCCTCCTAAAGGTTTAAGGGGTGGTTGGAATAGGTGAGAGGGGTGAGCCCCATAATTCATGAAGACTACCAGCCTGAAGATCAGGCTAAGGAGACAACCCAGTCTGATTGGAGATGAGTTGAAGATGAAGCAGATAATATTGAATGAATTAGGATCATCCCTTGAACATCAGAGGACAGAAACAAGCTGGGTTAGGGGGAGTGGAACCCCAACTCTTTAAAAAAAAAATCTGTGAAGGCCTCAGAGTCAGTACCATTTCAATGCTCTGGGAAGAACTCAAGTATAAGGGGAGAAATTTGAGAGGGTGGAACGACAAAGTAGTCCCATGTCCCCCAATTCCCAGAAATAATCCAAGGCTAAAAGGAAGAGTTTCTGGACAAGAGGTGTTTTTATAGGCCAAGAATTCTGGAAAAGGCACATAGGAGGCTCTTGAGGACTTGGCTATATCTCCCTTGCATCTTACACTTGATTTTGGAGGTGCTTCTCTACAGTTGTGTGGGCCTAATGTGTGTATGTATGTATATGTATATATGTGCACCTTGAGCCTGTGTGATCATACAGCAAGGAAGGGCCATCTGTTCAGAAGTTCAAGTCTTGTTTCTTCCTTTTTTTCTTTGTTGTGATCTTCATCAGAAATCCTGACTATCCAGTTTCTTGAAATGATGGACATGCTTGTTTGTTGGTAAAGAGGGATTTCCTTTAAACAAAATTAAAGATGAAAAGAGTACAGAGGTCTCTACTTTTGCCCTAAAAAAAGCCCCAGAGTGGAAAATCAAATCTGCAGAATACTTTACAACTGAGGTGGGTGGGTTTGTGTGAAAGAACAGATATGCAAAGCTTCCCTGCCCTTTGTGATGTGGAGTGGATTGGTGGATATTTCTTGTGTCCCCCTCTCCTTTATTTTTGCTTCTGTACCTGCCCTAGGTAAATAGCAAATCTTATAAAATGGGAGATACTGCCCAAAGTTCCTTGAAAGATTCTGAAACCTCTGGCCGAAAGCATTTCCTTCCTTATTTCAAGGGGCGGGGATGTTACGTTGCACCAGTCCATCATTCATCCTTTCCCCTCTCCTCTTGATAAAGAGAATGTTAAAAGGGCAATGGAAAGGAGATTGAAAATAAAAGGGTAGGCTGAGAGGGAGGAATCCTTTTATAAACAGATATGATGGGGGTGGGGGACGACAGAGCACACTTCATTCATATTTGGGCAGGGGTCAGTGCAGTTCTCAACATTTGGATACAAAGACTTCTGAGTTTCAGCTCTTTTTCAGATCAAGTAGAGACGGGCAAAGTGAGTTGTTAGAAATGGCAGTCTGGTAACTTAAAGGGAAAAGAAGTGTGTCTGGTTCTATTCTGCGTGTGCGTGGGAGAGGTTAAAGCGATCCCTATTGCGCTGCGGCTTCAGTTTGGTTTGCTGGGCACGGGACTCCACGCCGCATTGCGTCTCGATTGCCGGGGCCTGAGCCAGCCACCTACTGGGGGAGCCGGGAAATGCAATGACAGCCGGACAGGAGGAAAAAAGGGGGGGGGGGTTCTCTGCCCCTCTTCTCTCCCTGCCGCTCCCGCTTTTCCTTTCCTTCATCTCAAAAATGGTAGAAATAGAAAAGGTTCAGAAAAGGCCAACTGAGAAGATCAAGGGGGGTGAAGTGACTCCCCTATGAGGAAAGATGCAGCATTTGGGACGTTTTGAGCTTGGAGAAAAAAGCCGAGGAAGAGGGGGCACGATAGAAGTTTAGAAAAATCATACCTGGCGTGGAGAAAGTAGATGGAGAAAAGTTTTTCTCCTTCTCCCATAACACTAGAATTCGTGGAGATCCAATGATGCTGAATGTTCAGTTGGGGGAAAAGAAAGTCCTCTTTCACGCAGCGCATAGTGGAACTATGGTACTCGCTCCCCCAGGAGGAAGGCATGGCAACCAACTTGGGTCGCTTTGAAAGAAGATTGGATAACTTCATGGAGGATCAGGGGCTGCTAGCCATTGAGGCTATGCTCTGCCTCTAGAGCATGGGTAGGCAAGCTAATGCCCAGGGGCCTGATCCTGCCCAAGCGCCTTCTAAATACGGCCTGCGGACGTGTTTTTACATGAGTAGAATGTGTGCTTTTATTTAAAATGCATCTCTGGGTTATTGGTGGGGCATAGGAATTCATTCATTCCCCCCCCCCCCAAAATATAGTCTGGCCCCCCACAAGGTCTGAGGGACGGTGGACTGGCCCCCTGCTGAAAAAGTTTGCTGATCCCTGCTCTAGAGCATGAGCAGGCAAACTAAGGCCCGGGGGCAGGATCTGGCCCAATTGCCTTTTAAATCTGGCCTGCGGACGGTCCGGGAATCAGCGTGTTTTTACATGAGTAGAATGTGTGCTTTTATTTAAAATGCATCTCTGGGTTATTTGTGGGGCATAGGAATTTGTTCATTTTTTTTCTTTCCACAATATAGTCTGGTCCCCCACAAGGTCTTAGGGACAGTGGACCGGCCCCCTGCTGAAAAAGTTTGCTGACCCCTGCTAGAGTCAAAGGCGGTGATTCTTCTGAATACCAGTTGCAGGAGAGAGTGCTCTTGTTCTCAGGCCCTGCTTTGCAGGTTTCCCATAGGCATCTGAACAACCACCGTGAGAACAGGATGCTGGACTAGATGGGCCATTGTCCTGATCCAACAGGCTCTGATGTTCTTTGATTCCCGAAATGCTGGGGGGGGGGGCAACTGCACCTTCTGCCAGACCTTTTCCCTCATTCATGATGGGGCTGTGACTCATCACCCCCGTGTTGCAACTACAACCATTCCAAAGTTGAACTCGAGCATACCTAACAGGTTCTGGTGCACAGCCTGGCCTCAAATAAACCCCACCCTGTGCCACATCCTCGCCGCAGGTATGCAAAGCTCAGGTGTCATCTGGGTCACTTAGAGCACAGTCCTTTGCACTCCAGAAGTCAGATCCCACTGCGGTTGTTTGATGGTAGGGTTGCTCCCTTGTAAGTATGTTTTAGGATTGTTGCCTAAGGGTACGAGTGGCTCCCCCATGTGAGAATAGCAGGTAGTAATGTTCTTTCTCATGTGCCTATGCTTTAGAGCAGGGTTTCCCAAACTTGGCTGTTTTTGGACTACAACTCCCATCATCATCACCACCGACCACTCATCCTGCTAGCTAGGGATGACCTTCCAACAAGCCTTTTAAATAGAGATTAAGATCCCCATTTCCATCTGTATTAGAACTGTTTTTAAGAAGTTCTCATTGTTTTATTGCTTGTCTGTTTGCCACCATGGGCTCCTTGGGGTGGAAGGGTGGGGTATAAATTTAATTAATAATAATAATAATTACTTAATCCATAAAAATTCACTTGTTCACATGCACTCGTATACAGTGGTGCCTCACAAGACGAAAAGAATCCTGTCAGGGGCTCAGGAGCAGAGGCACAGGAAAGGGAGGAAATAGAGAGCGAGGGGGAGGAATCCGAAGGAAATGTTAGCGATGACAGCGGTCCGAGGTCTCTGAGTCTTTCCAGCGAATCGGAAGATTCACAGAAAGGGGCTCCCCTGGTCAGAGCAAGGGGGGTGCCTAGGGGGACACCCCAGGAAGAAGGGGCCAGAGGGGACTCAGAGAGCAGCAGTTGGAAATCAGGACCAGCTTCCCCACCAGAGCGCAGTAGGGGGGAGGAGTCCCAGGTATCGGGATCAGGAGGCTCACCGCCAGCGGGAGGAGAGGAGTCAGGATTGGCCACGCCTCCATCGGAGAGCGAGGAAACGGTCAAGAGGAAGGTTGAAGGCTGGGCGCGCGCGCCAAGTTCAAATGTACAGGAGGGCGGCGCAGTTGGCAGCCCGGATAGGGAGCCAGGTCCCAAAGCCCGCCGAAAGGAGGGGGAGGAGTCAGGGGGGTCAGCGTCAGAAGAGTCCAGAAAGGAGGAGACCCCGGGGGGCAGAAGGACCCAGAGGAGAAAGGAGAGACGGAAGAGGTGGAGTAAGGTTAGAGTCTTAAGCTGGTGTGCAGGGGGTGGAGACTCAGATGGAGCTTCGCCGGTCTAGCCTCTAAGACGTAGAGCTGGGCGCTGCGGCTTGAAAATGGAAACTGTACTTCAATAAAGACTTTTGTACATTACTACCGGCTAGCGTTGGTCCTCTGTGAGCTGGGACCTGGAGCCAGCTCTGACAAATCCGTTCCGCGATTCTCTTCGTCTAGCGGTTTTTTCGTCTTGCGAAGCAACCCTATTAGCGGCTAAGCGGATTAGCGCTATTAGCGGTTTAGCGGCTATTAAAGGATTAGCGGCTAAGCTGCTAAAAGGCTATTAGCGGCTTAGCGGCTTAGAAAAAGGGGGGGGAAGCGGGGAAAAAACGCAAGACTAGCAAGACGTTTCGTCTTGCGAAGCAAGCCCATAGGGAAAATCGTCTTGCGAAGCAACTCAGAAACGGAAAACCCTTTCGTCTAGTGCGATGCTTCTGCGTTTCCTTTTTCAGTCTAACCTACCTCACAGGATTGTTGTCAGGAGGGGCCATGTGTGCTACCTTGACCTACTTTGGGGAAGAGTGTGATAGAGCCATCATTATTAAAACAAAGAAAACAAGCCTGGCTTAGTGGACCTATTCCAACTCTCTCCACCATATTCTTTTCTTCCTCTCTCTCTCTTGCTTTGTGAAGGCTCAGTGATGGCGACCATGTTGTACCCCCGTGAGGAGAAGCTGGAGAAGATGAGCCAGGATGAGATTGTGTTGGGCACCAAGGCAGTGGTGCAAGGCCTGGAGACACTGCGCACTGAGCACCACTCGCTGCTGGCCGCCCTTCTCGACACCGTCAACCGGCTGGAGCAGCAGCACGAAACAAGTGCTGCCCAGGAGAAGGCCAGCCTCTTGCGCAAATCTCTGGAAGCCATCGAGCTGGGCCTTGGGGAGGCTCAGGTAACAGCCACTAGTTCAGGGATGAGGAACACTGTGGGCCCTTTGGATGTTTGGATGCAGAGAAATGGTGGGAAGGAACCAGCTGGGGGGAAGAAGGCTGAGAGCCTGGGAAGTGGTGGCGGCATAACGATGAGTGGCCAGAGGGAGAGGACTGGGAAGAGGAGCTGAAGAGGTAACAGGGCTTAGTGAGCTGGGAGAGTCTGTGGCAGAGAGAAGCTCAGAATCAGAGACTGAAGCTGAAGCAGGAGAGTGGGATGAGGGAGGCCAAGAGGCAGAGATAAGTCAGGCTGGCGAAGAGTCACAGGTGTCTCTCCCACCTGCTGTGAGAAGCTCCTCTCTCCCCTTATCTCCCAGAACCAGAAGAGTCATGAAAAGCATGGAGGAGAGGTTGGCTGCACGCAGGCACAGTCTCTGATTGTTTGGACTGATTGTTTGGAAAAAGCCCTGGAGAGGAGGAGATCTAAATGGCTGTGGGGAGGTGGAGACCTTTAGTTTCGTGGAGTAAGGCCTAGAGGGAATGAATGGCTGCGCTCGTTAGGCCTGGCACTCGGCCAAGTCTGCGAAGATCACGTTTTTACTAATAAAGAGTTAACGCCAACTTTCAACTGAGTGACTTACTGACTGGATCACTCGGTGCCTGCTGAGCTGACTGGGGTTGATGGGAGTCCCAGCAGTGTCTGGAGGGCCAGAGTGTCGCTAATGCAATGGTTCCTGGGGCTTTGTCACCTGTGTCCCCTTTCCTAGTTGGAATTTCACAGGCCTGTGTTCACACCAAGTCTCCGGTTACAGGTGATCATTGCCCTCTCCAGTCACCTGAGCGCGGTGGAGTCAGAGAAGCAGAAGCTGCGGGCTCAGGTGCGGCGCCTGGTGCAGGAGAACCAGTGGCTGCGCGATGAGCTGGCTGGGACCCAGCAGAAGTTGCAGCGGAGCGAGCAGTCCGTGGCCCAGCTGGAGGAGGAGAAGAAGCACCTGGAGTTCATGAACCAGATTAAGAAATTTGATGATGATGTTTCGCCATCGGTGAGCCTTCTCTTTTTCTTCTTCTGATTTCTCTCAACCCTACGCTCTGCTACTCGTGACCCTCCATATTTAGAGAATGAGCTGCACTTACAGTGTCCACCAACCTAGATGGCTTTAAAAGCGGGTGATTGGTTGTTTGTTTTCTGCCCTTTGCCCGAAGGCCCCAAGGCAGATTGCAGCATTAAAACACAAGAGCAATTTAAAACAACTTAACATTATACAAATAAGGTATGTCTTAAAGGCACAGAACTCATGTGTCAAAGGCCCCTAAACCTCTGAGGGCAGAGGAATTGCCAAGGTGGCCCCCTTTGCCATTTTCAGCAGCTGAGAGAGATCTGTAGGGAAGGAGGCGGTATTACAGGTATTTGGGGCCTAAGTCATGTAGGGCTTTAAATATTAATACGAGCACCTTGAATTGGATGCAGAAACAAACACAGGCAGACAGATTTGTGAACGATAAGGTTACCAGGCAAAACCATACCTCTTCTCCCAGGCCTTTGGCTTTTAAACTGGCAGGGGGGAGTATTGCTTTTGTTTACTATGTTCTGTATTGTTGTGTTTTTATATTGCAAACCACCCTGTGATCCTTGGATGAAGGGTGGTATAAAATGTAATTAATTAATAAAATAAAATAAAAGTCACAGTGGCTGTGTTCATCCTCCACTGTCCTTGTACCTGAGAGAGCCCTGTATCTGTGTACAGTTCTGCTCACCTCACCAAGAATATTGTAGAGCTGGAAAAGGTTCAGAAAAATGGCAATGGAAATGATCAATAGGTTGCAGCAACTCCCCTGTGAGAAAAGGCTACAACGTTCGGGGCTTTTTAAGTTTAGAGAAAAGGCGAGTAGGAGAAGACATAATAGAGGTATATAAAACTAGGCATGGAGTGGAGAAAATGGGTAAAGAGAAGTCCCGCTCCAGCCCTCTCAACAGTAGCATCTACCTTAAATCAGGCGTCGAGGAACCTGGGGCTGTCTGGATGTTGTCAGACTCCCATCAGCCCCAGCCAGCATGGACAATGATTAAGGATTATGGGAATTGTAGTCCGGTAATATCTAGAGGGCCAAAGGTTCCCCCATCCTTGCTATACATGAATGTCAGCAAATTGGGAGTGGAACACTGCAGGTTCGGCAATCCCCAAGGACTGAATCAGAGATGTGAGCTTTGGTGATTAGGATGGTGCTGGGCATTCTTACCATTTTCTTTTGTCTTCGAAATGGTAGGAGAGTTTCAAGCCCTGGTTGTCTTTTTTTCTTTCTGCCCAGGATGAGAAGAATGGGGAGACGGGCAAAGACTCCTTAGATGATCTGTTCCCGAACGATGATGACCAGGGACAAGGTGAGCTACCTTGGGCTAAGTAGACCATTGTGATCCAGCAAGTCAGTTCTTACGGCAAGGAGTCAGAATACTAGAGATAGTGGCCTTCAGATTGCAGCATTTCAGTCCAAGCTGTCAATAACTGCATGAGGACTAGAAGCTTGCTTCTTAAAGCTAGAATGGCAAGGGTTGTTCTGTTTAGGAGTGTTCTGTATCAGAGTGATCATCTTTGTTAACGTCAATAGACCAGAAATAAATACTTGTATAATAATGACTAATTTTGTCAGCTAAGAAGATCACCAGGGAAATAGATTAGTGATGGGGAACCTGTGGCCTTCTAGATGTTTCTGCACTCCCAGCTTCCATCAGCCCTGTCCAGCATGGTGATGGGAGGGAGGGAACATCTAGAAGGCCAGAAGTTCCCCCACCCTCAAGTTAGATGATCACAGGTACTGGAATAAAAAGTACAAGACATGGACAAACCCTAAAGTTGTTGGAATTCCACCAAAATTTGAGGAAACTAAAAATGTTCAGGGTTGTAGGCAGTGCTAGTCCTGCTTGGGGTAGACCCATTGAAATTAATAGACATGACTAACTTAGGCCTGTTAATTCCAGTAGGTCTACTCTGAGTAAAACTTAGTTGGGCATCACCCCCTGTCTAGCAAACATAAATACTTTTCAATATCTCAACCACAGATAGGTTGGCTAATATACTCGTGACAGAAGAAAGGAATGATCATTTATTTATTTGAAAGCAGTTTTGCCCTGCTCTTCATCTGAAAAGGCTGCTAGAGCAGTTTACATATCAGTAGCAAACAAGACAATCCCTGCCCCTCATGTGTACAGCGTTCAAAGACCCGACACATAGTGAAAAGGGGGAGAGGAGAGGAGAATATGCAAACTCAGGTCCCTTGTCCTATGCATTTACCAAATTCTTAGGCTGACTTCTCTTCCCTCACGTAGCTCTTAATTCCAGCCATGAAACACTGTGATCATATAAATTCCATAGGATGATGGCGCATTATGTGGAGAAGTCTACTAGCTCTCTGTCCTGAGCCTGCTGCCTATTCATTTTAAGTGTGTGTAGGTGTTTGTGTTTGCAGGTGTATATACACCTGCTTTGAGTGTGTATGTATAGCATACTGAAGAACTGCTTTGTGGAGGGTGTGGTCAGCAGATCCCACCCCCTTTGATGATGCCAATGTATTTCTCCAGGGCAGACGCATGGTAGTGGAGATGCAGCAGCCCAACATGGTGGTTATGAGATTCCGGCACGGCTGCGGACACTCCACAACCTGGTGATCCAATATGCTTCCCAGGGGCGCTACGAGGTGGCTGTACCGCTCTGCAAGCAAGCACTGGAGGATCTTGAGAAGACCTCAGGACATGACCACCCCGATGTGGCTACTATGCTGAATATTCTTGCACTGGTTTACAGGTGTGAGGCTTGGCTGACTTGGGCCTAGGGCAGGGGACTGCTTTTTGACCTTAGATCTAACTTGGACATGCAGAGAAAGTGTGTGGAGCTGCCCTGCTGAGACTGTATCACTTTAGGCTGCCGTTACTGAATTGCTTATTTGCAGGCTCTCTTATGCTGAAAGAAAAGAAACTCAGAAAAGCTCCATGCATTTGGAAAGTTAGCTTGTCAGGAAGATGACTAGCTTTCCAAGGTCCTTTGAGAACAGTATTCAGACGTGATCAGAAGCCACCCCCTAGCCTGACATCGTGCAGCCTAGAAAGGACTGTACCCCATGCCTTTTGTGTACTGTACATTCAGATGTGGGCTTTTATAATTTATTTTATGTTCTTAATAGCATTTGTAAACAGCTTCATATACTGTATATATTTTTAATTTATACAGTATAAAAATGAAAAATATAATCAGAACAAAAGTACAACCTGAAACCAATAAAACAGCAGTTTAATAATAATAATATAATAATAATTTATTATTTATACCCCGTCCATCTGGCTGGGCCTCCCCAGCCACTCTGGGCGGCTTCCATAAAAACCAAAAATACAATAAAATATCACATGTTAAAAACTTCCCTGAACAGGGCTGCCTTAAGATGTCTCTTGAATGTCAGGTAGTTATTTATCACTTTGACATCTGCTGGAAGGGCGTTCCACAGGGTGGGCGCCACTACCGAGAAGGCCCTCTGCCTGGTTCCCTGTAGCTTTGCTTCTCGCAATGAGGGAACCGCCAGAAGGCCCTCGGCGCTGGACCTTAGCGTCCGGGCAGAATGATGGGGGTGGAGACGCTCCTTCAGGTATACTGGACCGAGGCCGTTTAGGGCTTTAAAGGTCAGCACCAACACTTTGAATTGTGCTCGGAAACGTACTGGGAGCCAATGCAGGTCTTTCAAGACCGGTGTTATATGGTCTCGGCGGCCGCTCCCAGTCACCAGTCTAGCTGCTGCATTCTGGATTAGTTGTAGTTTCCGAGTCACCTTCAAAGGTAGCCCCACGTAGAGTGCATTGCAGTAGTCCAAGCGGGAGATAACGCATTTAAAGACTTGTAAAAGCATAATAAAAACAAATGAAATAAAAATTCAGAGCATTCAGTTACATAAAAATGGGCCCAGTCTTATGGGTCAGGGAAAGCCACTCAGCTCCCTGGCCACAGCATTCTGCACCAACTGCAGCTTCCAGACCAATCGCATGGGACGCCCTGCATAGAGCTCATTACAGTAGTCCAGTCATGAGGTTCCCAACGCATTGAATCACAGTGGCTAAGCTACCTCTGTCCAGGAAAGGGCATAGTTGGTGCACCAGCCTAAACTGGTAATAGGCACTCCTTGCTTTGGAATTCTCTCTGGCCAAAATAATAACTTATTTTTCTTCCTGCTAGGGACCAAAATAAGTACAAGGAGGCTGCTCATCTTCTCAATGATGCCTTGGCCATCCGGGAGAAGACCTTGGGAAAGGACCACCCTGCCGTAAGCACCCTGATTTTTTGCAAACCACTTTGAGGTCTTTTTTTAAGACAATCAAGCAGTGTATAAATTTTATTAGATAAATAAATCATTTCAGAGCCTCTAGCAGAAACCATTTGGATGCTTGAGGGTCCCCCTCGATAACCATGAGGACTAGCACCTTAGATCTTCTCTTTGCCTCCTTTTTCTTTAATGGATCACCTTTGATTCTGAATCTGCTAGCTTGCTGTGATAACCTGTTTTGAAGTAGACTTCTGAGGTTCACACAGCAATCATATCCTAGAGTTTTGAGTTGTACAATGTACTTTTTCATCCTTAGGTGGCTGCTACCCTCAACAATCTGGCTGTGCTGTATGGTAAGCGGGGAAAGTATAAGGAGGCGGAACCGCTGTGCAAGAGGGCTCTGGAGATCCGAGAGAAGGTACTTAAAGAAGGCCGCTACAGGCAGCAATACTTGGGGCATATCCCACCCACCCCGGAGCTTTCTTTTTCTGCAGAAAATTTGCAGTTTCCAAAGTTCATCAGTTACAATGCATGGATGCTAACTATGAACACAATATAAGGCAAGCTTCTCAGTGATCAAGTTTTTAGCTTGTACTAAATTCAAGTAAAATGAACATGGTAAATTAGATCACTTTCTAGGATATCGTAATGGTTCCTCAATGCAAACTGAAAATTTTCTGATGCAAGTTACCCTGATCTGCGTGGGGAAAATGTTCAGGATATAAAGAAATAAAATATGAAACAAAACAATACTATTAAACAAAACAAAATGCTGGAAGATTTGATAAGTCCGTGGCCTGCAGAGCCATTGCCTGTGGGCTATGGCTTCACCCTCCCCACTCCATACACCTTTGTTGCTCTTCTGTTGTCAGGGATCTTCATCCTCACCCTTTTGCTCAAAGTCATATTCCCTTGACAAAAATTACAATACATGCACTGCGCTTGTTAAACAAGTTGCTTCTATTTAACCCCGTCTCTTCCAGGCTGTCTGTTTCCCCACCCCCACCCCACTCATTGTCTGCTGTCCTCCTTTATTCAAAACACTGAGGACTAGAATCTTATTTGGAAGAGTGGCCATATCTCAGTGGCAGAGCATCTGCTTTGCATGCAGAAGGTCCCAGGTTCAATCCTCAGTGGCATTTTCAGGGAATAACCCCTGCTGCCAGTCAGATGGGATGAACAGCCTGATCTGGTTTAAAGTAATTTCCTATGTGAAAATGATGGTTTGGGCACTGGGAACTGGGATTTGGCAATAACATGGACAAACTTCACTTTCTTTCTTTTTAAGTGATCAGTGTCTCCTCTTCCCAACCTCCCAGGTGCTGGGGAAGTACCACCCAGATGTGGCCAAGCAGCTCAACAACTTGGCTCTCCTTTGCCAGAACCAGGGCAAGTACGAGGAGGTTCAGTACTACTACCGCCGCGCCCTGGAGATCTACGAGTCTCGCCTCGGGCCAGACGACCCCAATGTGGCCAAAACTAAAAACAACCTGGTGAGAGGGGCTGATTGGAAAAGTCCAAGAGAAACCTTTGGGGGTGTGGGGATGGTTTAAGGGGGTGGGGGTGGAATCTATGCTAAGCAGTTTTCTTCCATGCCAGATTTTGGTTGGACTACAACTCCCATCATCCCCCGACACCTTAGCCAATGTTTAGGGATGATGGGAGCTTTAGTCCCAACAACAGGGGACCCAAGGCTGAAGAACACTGGTAGCATGCTATAAAGTTTGCATTAAATGCTTTAAAGTTCGTATTAACTTTGTGACATTTAACAGTGTGATGTTTACTGTAGGGCCCGGGGCACTGCAGCCCTCCGGATGTTGTTGGACTACAACTCCCAGCAATCCCAGCCAGCAGAGGGTGATGGGAGTTTTAGTTTAATGTCTCCTAGACAATGGCAGCTTCTGTAGCCCCTGATTTGCCCAGTGCTCATCAGTTACATCAGTGCCTTTGTGCTGGGGGGAGGAAGGGAGGCAGGAAGGCAACTTCCAGGTGCCCCTGGAGCCCTTCTATCCTCCTCCCCTGCCTACTCCTGATTGGTGCCTTTCTGCTGTTTTACTTTGCAATCATTGGCCATGCCACTGGAAGGCAGGTTAATCCCTTGACTGACTAGCTGGGTTGAATACTGGTCTGTGCAATCTTCCTCTTCTCTCTGCAAGAGAAAGGACAGCACTTCATAGAGTTATGCTGCTAGTAGAGAATCTGGTGTATGTAGCATCCACCTTTTGCTAGGCATCAATGCTTCCTGATCCCTGTTGCCACAGCCTGTCCCTCTGACCTCAGAATATGCCCCCACAGGCCTCCTGCTACCTCAAACAAGGCAAATACAAGGACGCTGAGGCCCTCTACAAGGAGATCCTGACCCGAGCACACGAGAGAGAGTTTGGCTCAGTCAATGGTGAGTGCAGAAACAGGTGGTGGAGCCTCATGTGTACAGAGGAGGGTTGCTTCCTTTTATTTTATGCATATCAGGTGTGGCGCAGGAAAAGACACAGCTGGGACAAAAGGGGGGTTGTGGCTGCTGTCAATCAGCTGATCAGGGACACCGCTAAAAGCATACCCTTTGCCAGCACTGACCATCAGCCTTTGCCCACATGGTTTTAATGACTTTTGTTTTGTTTCGTTATTACATTTCTAAAAAGTGTTCTCGCCATGCTTGAGGTTGCAAAGCACAGCACCTGCTCTCCTATCCACTTAAATCTCCCTTTGTGTAGAGATTTCCAGAAGGGATACATGACAAATCTGAAGAAACATGAATCGTGTAGGCTGTTTATGTTGGCCAGATTTAACATGTTTCCCTCGGTGGTAGTGAGAGGAAGATACTTAGCTATCCCAGAATCAGAGCGTCTCTGCAAATGCAGAAAACAGGAACCCGATACTCTAGAGCATATATTCTTTTCCTGTGATTTTGGCAGTTATGCCAGAAGACAATTATTTGAGGCCCTAAAATTTAATAGACAGTCTTTTACACAACCAACTGTTCAGGACCTGCTGGCGGACAGTGATGATCAGATTACTTTAATAGTGGCTGAATTTTTAAGTGCTGTCCATGAAGAAAGAATGGGCCATGATAAAGAGACTTAGTGGTTCTTAATGGTAGGTGATGTTGCTGTGCTGTATTATTTTATCTATGTACATAGATTTATTTCTTGGAGTTAAGAATAGGTCTGGGATAAATTGTGTTCGCTGAGCCTGTATTTTATACAGTCTGTATATGATGTTTGTTTGATAATGTGTGGTGTGCTATGCCTAATAAAGGATTTTGAATTGAAATATTACATTTCTATCCCCTCTTTCCTCTAAGGAGCTCAAGCTGGCATACACAGTTCTCCCTTTTCTCCCCCTTTTTCCTCACAGCAACCCTGTGAGGTGGGTTAGGCTGAAAGAGCGTGACTGGCAAATTGGTTGGTGCATTGAAATGTGGATATTTCATAACCTTCCCACTCAACCCCCCTGATCGTGTTTTATTTATAACAAATTTATGTCAAACTTCTATTTATAATTACGCAAATGTACAAGAAATATTTTTAATGTCCTGAGGAGTCCCACAAGGTGGACTGATGGTCTGCCCTGGTTCAAGGCAGGTTCTTCACTGCTGTAAGTTCTTTTCTGTTCTCCCCCCACCACCGTTCTTTGTAGGAGAGAATAAGCCGATCTGGATGCATGCAGAAGAGCGAGAGGAAAGCAAGGTACCTCTGCATTGGGAGGGAGAAGGGAACCCGACTTTCCCTTGGGGGTGGATCCAAGCCGTCTGACTCACACCCTGCCCTTTAACCTTTAACCTTGCCTCCCCCTTAGGAGAAGCGCAAGGAGAAAGACAGCGCCCCCTATGGGGAGTATGGCAGCTGGTACAAAGCCTGCAAGGTGGACAGGTAAGGGGTAGCTTCCCTTTTCTTTTCTTAAAGGTTTTAAAAAGGTTGCTCCTGACTTTGAGTTGGGGCTAGGAGCTTGAAATGAAAGAGAAGCCAGAGGCTTAAGAAGAAGAGTGAAATTGCTGCTGCTACAAGTTAAGGCTGACATAGTTTCCTTATTTCACAATGGTTAGGATTCATTGACTGTCTTGATAAGACGAGTGAACTTAAGTACATAAGAGGAGCTCTGCTGGATTAGGTCAGTGGCCCATCTAGTCCAGTATTCTGTTCTCACAGTGGCCAATGAAATGCCCATGGGAAACCCGTAGGCAGGATCCGAGCACAAGAGCCCTTGCTGTTCCTGTGGTTTCCAGCAACTGGTACTTAACTGTGTGGTCTAACAGGTGGCTTTTACAACTTACCATTTAAGATAGTTTCTGCATAAAAGAACCAACGCAAGTACAACAGTATTGGCAGCAGTAATGCAGAGAAAAGGCTGGAGCAAAGTGTAGGAACAGCATTGGTGACCTATTGCTGGGCAAAGCAATCCAGTGGTTTAAACTGAGACCATATTTTAGCCCAGTGTGTCTGTCTTAACACAGTAGCTTTAACTAATTTAACTGTAATTATGTAAGAACAGTTATAACATGCATAAATGACAATTGATTGATTTTTTTTTTAAGACACAAATTTGACCATTTAATGGAAACTTTATTTTGTGAAAAGTTCCTTAAGAGGACAGCAAAAGTGCAAGGGGTACAAAGAACGCTCTTGACCTATCTGTCTTTGCATTCTCCTTTCCACCCACAGCCCCACAGTCAACACGACTCTGAAAAGCTTGGGTGCTCTCTACCGGCGCCAGGGAAAATTGGAGGCTGCAGAGACGCTGGAGGAGTGTGCCCAGAAAACCCGCAAGCAGGCAAGTGCTGCATCATGGTGGTTGGCGGTAGTAGAATAGGCAGAGCTCACCCAGCTGTTAGGCAGGGTGAGGCTGCTGCTTCAGACAGAGGAACGCTCACAGGTGCCCTGCCTCCATCAGTACTGATTTGGGGCAAGATCGCAGCCATTTGAAATGAGATCTCACCCAAACTCATTCGAGATCTTGTGTGCTCCGCAAGATCTCAAGTGATTTTGGGTGAGATCTCGCCCAACATCAGCGCTGATGGTGGTGTTATTTTGATGCGGCAGGGTGTGCAGTGGCGACAGAGCAGGCAGTGGCAGCAGAAGCAAGGCAAAACAGCACTTATTGTTTCACACACCCTGTGTTGTTCCAGCAGTGGGACGGAAATGTGTGCTGGGGGATATTAAAAAAATTCTGCTCCCCCATGCTGGCTTAAATAGGCCATCTAGCTCTTGGATGCCCCAGTTGATGATCTCTGTATTCCACCTAGGGCATGGACGCTATTAACCAGAGCAAGGTTGTAGAACTACTGAAGGATGGGAACCGCTCCGAGCACCGATCAAACTGTGAGGGGGTCCTCAGCTCCAACAAGTGTGAAAACGGGATTGACCCGGAAGACAGAGCGGCTGAGTGGTCCGGGGTAAGAAGCAGCAAAACTTTACAAATTAAACCTAAAATGGAGGACACTTCAGTGTAATCCTATCCAACAAGGTGTGGGGAGTCTTTGGCCCATGGGCCCTGTGTTTAGGCTTCCCTTCAAGGAATGTGCTTGGCCTCTCTGGGAACAGGATGCTGATTTAGACATTTGGTGCTGATCCCTTTTCTGCTTTTCTCCCCACCTTCCCAGGCGGGCTCCGGAGCCTTGCGACGCAGCGGCTCCTTTGGGAAGCTGCGTGACGCCTTGCGACGAAGCAGCGAGATGCTGGTGAAGAAGCTGCAGGGGAGCAGCCCGCAGGAGCCCCGGAACCCAGGGTAAGTCTTCCGTCTAGTGGCTCTGCTTTGGGACCTGGGGTGGGCAGGATGTGCTGCAGACCCAAGGTCTAGCCAGCCCAATATTTTTTATTATTGTTTCAGCAGTATATAGCTAGCTGCTTTTCTCTGGAGAAACCCACAACCAGGGCGTCAAGGCAACACCCTTAGTGAATATCAAAAGGGGCTGTGTCTCAACTGCCTTGCATGCAGAAGGTCCCAGGTTCAATCCCTGGTATCTTCAGGCAGGCCTGGGAATATCACATGCCTGAAACCCTAGAGAAGGCCATAGATCAGTGACCAAAAGGCCTAACTCCTTTGGCACTTACTTTTTGTCTCCCTGCAGGATGAAGCGGGCCAGTTCTCTCAACTTCCTCAACAAGAGTGTGGAAGAGGAAGCAAGCCAGGTATACACACAGATTGCAAATCGCAGCCCGCCTCTCTCTCCCTTCTGAGTTGTTTCTCTGTTGGGTAGGGGAAGGAAGTGTGGTTACTGAGAAATCAAAGGATGTTCTTTCCCAACCACTTCCAAAGCCCTGATTGAAAGGGCAGAGCAGGGACCCATCCAGAAGCACACCAGGCAACCTCATATACAAGGGATAGTACTGTAATTTATGTTGCATCTCTGTAATGAAACTCAGTGCAGATGCGCCACAGAATTGTCCACCCCTAGCAGAGGCTGATAGGGAGAAGGCACATTCAGATCAAAAGATCATGCAGAGGCACAGCAAACAGACTCATCCACCCAAGACTGGGTGCTTTAGATCATGGGTAGGCAAACTAAGGCCCAGGGGCCCAATCGCCTTCTAAATCTGGCCTGCAGACGGTCCGGGAATCAGTATGTTTTTACATGAGTAGAATGTGTCCTTTTATTCAAAATGCATCTCTGGGTTATTTGTGGGGCATAGGAATTTGTTCATTCCCCACCCCCCTTCAAAATATAGTCTGGTCCCCCACAAGGTCTGAGGGACAGTGGACTGGCCCCCTGCTGAAAAAGTTTGCTAACCCCTGCTTTAAATCTTTGGGAGCCTTCAAGGCAGAGGTAGCCAATGCAGTGTTCTCCAGATGTGGGAATACAACTCCCATCAGCCTCAGTCAACATAGCCAAGGGTCAGGGATGATGTTTATAAAGCCCTGGCTTTTGAGTGGCTGGCCTATTCTACAAAAGTATGCTTGCACCCATACCTGCACCCACTTTTGCCCCTGGCCCTCCCCACCACTCCCATGTGGTGTTGTCCCCATGAATGGTTGCCCACAAGGCAGTGCAGCCCTCTGGCTGAAAAAGGTCCCCCACCCCTGCTCTGACATGTTGACCATTGTCTCCCTTTCTCTTTTCCAGGCATCCAGTAGTCTATCTGACAGCCGTGGCCTTAGCGCCAGCAACGTAGACCTCTCTCGGCGGAGCTCTCTGCTGGCGTGAGGATCAGCTTGGCCTGCACCTACGTTGCATTGTTGAAGACCTGGGCCACGTCCGACCTTCTGCCTTCTCTCTCTCTCTCTGTGCTGCTCTGCCTGTGACCACTTGCCCCCATGTCTAGCAGCAGAAGAATCGCCCACCCCCTTGTTACAAGGATGTCCCGTCACAATTTGCCCTGTGTGGAGCAGTGTGCACTTTCTCACACATTCTCACACGTGTGCATGCACTCACGCATGCACACACACACACACACAGCCTATGTCTTCCTCTCCACTGCAGCATGCTGCTGTCACCCTCGTTGTTGTACTTTGCTACTGGAAAAGAAACTGTAGTTTGCTAGGGTGAGTGTGGCTCTTAACTCTGCCATCTGTCCATCTCCTCTGCCAGCAGTTTAGCTTCTTGTAAAGGATAAGGTGATCCCACCTGTGCCAAGGAACCCCTAAGCTGCACTCCTCATGCATATACTGTATGCACTATATGTTTTTCAAGTGCCCCCTTCCTGTGAATGCTAAGAATGTATCTCTTTTGGTGGGGAGGAGGAATCTGTGTCTTTCAGAACCCCCCCCCCAAAAAAAAATGAGTGGGCAGAGAGAGGCTTCTTACAGTGCTCCTAAATAAGCAATGCTACGCCCTACTGTAGCAAACCTCTGCGAGAACTGTGCCTGGGCTGAATTACCTAACAATTCAGTTTGATTTGTTTGTCCCCAGAAGAGGAAGAATTGCAGTTCCCAGGGCATCTACAGTTACCCTTTGCCATGTGAAGTCTCTCTTTTCTTTTCCCGCTATGGTCTTCTCCCCATCTCTTTGCTTTGCATTCTTGTTTTGGCCTCAGGGAATCGCTGTTCCTTTTCAAAGCCCCAACCCCCCCTTATTCACTTCTTCTCCCCCATTTTTTCCTCTTCTCTTCTTCTCTACCCAACCTCCCCAGTCTCTACTCTGCCTATGTACAGCAGCCTCTTAAGAATTCTTTGACTTTTCATAGTTGTTTTGCTGGGTCAGGGCTGTGTCATTTGTGCGCAGAACAGCTGTTGCCAGTTTTGCCATTTCCCTCTCCAACCCCCCTAAAATAGTTTAGGGCTAGGGGAAGAAGGCAGCTGTGGAGTCTTATCTCCACAGTTTCCTGTGTCATGGAGGCTGGTGCTGTCATGCTAGCAAAACTACCACCCACTCTTTTTTATCAACAAAACTTGACTACATGGCATTTGCTGTTTCCCTTCCTTCTGGACTGAGCAATAGCAAGGCATTGTGAAGCAGGAATGGCTGGCCTTCAGCGCTGGACGTTGCACTTTCTGGGTCATTCTACACTGGACAACAAATTTTCCTGGAATATTTGTCTCTGTTTCTATCAGACCGATGCACGGGAGTGCAGTGTAGGGGACTTTGGATTCCAGGCATTTTCCGTCTGCTGGGAGGAGTATGGCATTGGGAGCATGAAGGTGTGGGTGATGGACGGTGGAAATTAAAGTTCTTCCTTGTAATAATCACCATAAATCAGTGCTGGAAAATATTAGCCCAACCCTTCACTCTATCGTGTGACCTTATTAAAAATCACGTTAGACCTGTAAGCACTATAAATGGAGCTGCCTTATTTCCTGGTGAAGGTTTTAAGCTGCAGCTGCAACCTGGCATGTGTGGCGGAAGAGTAAGGAATTTGAGCCATTCTCTCAGTGGCAGCCAAGCTGGCCCCCTCCATGTGACGTTGGACTTCAACCCCAATCATCCCCGACCACTGGACTTGCTGATGGGGAATTGGGAGTCCAGCAGTGCTTGGGGGAGATCACCACTTCTGTTCTAAATTGACCCACCCCTCCAGGAGAGCTTTCTCCTTTGACTCTGCTGCTATCCTAGAGTTTCTAGGCCAAGGATCTGTGTGCCTTTTAGTAGCTGTTTTAAGAGGTGAGCATTTCAGTGGTTGCAAATTCTCCATTCTGCCTCGGTCGGGAGGCAAACTCAGCTGGTGTTGCTCCTTCCTGCACAGCTATTAAAAAGCATGGGTGGGGGGTCCTTGCGGTTTAAAGCTGGTGACTTTCCTTTGCCTCTTCATTAGTTGCTCTCTTAGCTCAGTATTTAAGCGAGAAAATGTTATTTAAACCAACAAAAAAAGACAACAATACAACTAGGCCCTCTCACCTGACTGTATCCCTCTCTTTCAGGAAAGTACATACAAATGGGCAGGGCCCAGAGCGACTTAACATCGAGTGAGGGGGGTGGGGGGTGGATAACCTGATAGCTGCTCTGGGGTGGGATGGGCTGAGATGAAGGGAATAAATGGGATGGGGCAAATTTTGCTCTGTATTTAATGATGTTGCTGTAGAAAACATAATAAAAAAATGAAAGCTCCTTACTGTACCTGGTTTTTTCTTTCCTGCTTCTCTGGTAGTCACCTTTGCCCCATTCTTTCAGGTCACATCCACACCATACATTTAAAGCACTATTATTCCACTTTTAATTGTCATGGGAAAACCTTGGAACTGTAGTTTAAGTGTGCTGAGTACGGTAGCTCTGGAAGGTCAAAACCCTTAACAAATTACTGCTCCCAGGATTCTTTGGGGGAAGAAGCCATGATATAAGAGTGCTATAAACTATGTGTGGGTGTGACCTTTATCGCAATTGTAAAAGCCATCACTGTTTCACATTCCCAGCATGTTCACACTCCTGTCTCAGCAACATCTTTGCTGACTCGGTCACGTCCACAAAATGGAAGATGGCAGGATCCCCAGGAACATGCTCTGTGGGGAGCTGGCTTCAGCCACCAGGTCCGTTGGCAGACCCAACTGCTTCCAAAGATGTCTGCAAGCGTGACATGAAGGCTGGCAACGTTAGCTCTGCCGTGTGGGAATCCCTTGCAGTTGACCACAGGCTGTGCGTCCATAGCAGTGACCAGAGGAGGAATGACCACTGGGAGGAGCGCAGAGAGAAGAAACGCCATATTGCACCCGCATCAGAAGAACAACTGGATGCCTTCATCTGCCTAACCTGCAACAAAACATGTCTCTCATGTATTTGATCTCTAAAGCCACAGCAAGCACTGTAACTCTCACAACAGTCTGGCTTCACGCTTGAAGGCGCCCTCTTCCATTGCTTCCCATGACAGGTGGATGCCAACAAGGATCAGCTGCCCTGAGGAAGACTTAGTTGGAGGCAATTGTGTGCCTCCAAGCAGCTTACAGCAAAGAAGCTGACAAAGGGGTGAGGGGAGAGATAAACTGGATGATTCTCGAGAAAAGCAAGCCATGAGTTATATCGGTTGACAATGACTATACAACTTACTTTACTTTGGATGTTAAATTGGGTGTTAAAAGTCCTGTAGAAAAGTGGGATGTGCTCATAGTGGGGTGGGTTGCTGACCTAGGAGTCTTATCTGGTGCCTCCAAAGCTTTTGTAGAACCCCACCCCCCTTCCCATTTTTAAGTCCTATTGCAAATACTGAGGCTTAATCCCAGGTGAACTATGGTATATGGAATTATGTATAGAATTGCACCCTTTGGGCAAGGAAGTGTGTGTGTCTATGTGTACAGGGAACTCTCAACTTATGCACATTTAACTTGGGCACATTCAGCTTTACGTGCTTGGCAATTGATAAAAAATAAAAGGACGTAGGCATCCAGGATGGGGGGGAACTGCAATCCCACCTGCCATTGCACCCAATATGTTTTGACTATATGCAAATTTGGCTGATTTCGCTATCCCTAGGACGTAACCCCCACATGAATTGAGAGTTACCTGTATGTATGTGCATATATATATATATGCACACAATATCTCTTCTTATTCTTGTGTTCATAAGGGGGGAAATGTTCCATGACCGAGTTTGAGGTCTTGTACTCTAACAACATTGCAAGCCTACGTGGCAGTAGTTCTTGCTGACTAATTCTGACAGGGGAGAGAGAGAGAGACTATTGCACTATTATTAAGTTTGTTACGTCGCTTTTCTCAAAGAATAACCCAAAGGGACTTCAAATAACTTATTGGGAAGGGTCTGAATCAGGTAAATTCAGTCTGGGTGTCAACGGACTCTTTGATTGGCTGAAGCCTCCAGTCAGTTGGGCTTTAACTGAGAGAGACCGTTGAGATTTTGACAGTTGATGAGTCGGTGGGAATAAAGTGGTTGAGGAGGGAAATGTGAGGGAATACGACCAGAGAATGACTGAGGGGGGTGGGGGTGGGGATGGATTAATAATTGAAAATTAATAATATATTAGTGCTCAGTGTGTTGTTAATGCTTGGCTGGTAACGGTCTGTGGGAGTTATTGGCTGGGTGGAGGTTTAGGGGATTTGGCCTGAGGTAAATGCCACTTAGGGGCAACAGTGGAGTCTATAGAAACTGTTGTCAAGCATCTCTAACACCCCAATGTAAATATAAGTATTCCCCTATGTATACAGGAGAAGACACTGATGCTGGGAAAGATGGGGGGCACAAGGAGAAGGGGGCGACAGAGGACAAGATGGTTGGATAGTGTTTTTGAGGTTACCAGCATGAGTTTGACCAAACTGCGGGAGGTAGTGGAGGACAGAGGTGCCTGGCATGCTCTGGTCCAGGGGGTCACAAAGAGTCGGACACGACTAAACGACTAAACAACAACAACAACAATGTATACAGTATCCCTTCACTAAGCCACTAAGCCAAAGTTCATCCTGGCTCTAGGTTTGGCATCCATCTCATGCCCAAGCACCCACCTGAAGACCTCCTTCCTTCAACAAATCTAAACTAAGAGCTTTCCCAGTTTGCATTTGTACTGGAGTTGCTTTAAATATATTTTTATTGTTTTAATGACATCTTGTTTGTCACCCTTGGCTCCTTTGGGAGGAAATATAGGATATAATAATCATAACAATAAACATGCTCCTAAGAGGTTTTGAAAACATTCTGAGTAAATTGGTGGCAGTAGAAGATTAAAAAGGAGGATGGACCAACTAAACTTGGGTTATACAATTGAGGTTGAGTGTTGGCATCCATCTCACGCCTAAGCAAACTATCCGGAAACTTCTGAAGACCTTCTTCTTTCAGAAAACCTTTAAAATGAGATCTTCCCTAGTCTGCATTTGTCTCAGAAGATAAAATACAGGGACTTGCGTGCATTGTAGATGGTAGATTTTAAAAAGGCATTCCTCACTTTCAACTTGAAATGGTACAATGCTCTTTAGCACTGCCCTTTTTTAAATTCTATTCCAGATGTGAGACTTCTTTGAAAGCTGCTTTGAACTGCTAAGGAAGAGTGGGATCTAAGTATTATTTATTTAAAGGTGGTGCATATCCTACTGTGCTAATGAGATTTTTAAAAAATATATAATAAAAATATGAGTGCCATCACAGTTCCTACTAGAACATTTGTAGCATTGCATCACAATCCTAGATTTGTGTGAAGTCAGGGCAGGTTAGTAGAGGAAAAAAGATGGCAGGTTGCCCCAGAGCAGTGGTCGTAGCATGGGAGGGAGACGGGAGGGACATAGAGAGAAAAAGTGGTTGAAAAAATTAGAGTACAGTGACAAGAGAGTTGGGAAAGGCTCTGCTGTGCTAGCTTTTTTGGTGTTAGCTTCTCTGTTGTATCCATCTCTACTGTTTAGTTCCTCATGTACTGTATTTCACTCCTGGTATCATGTGTTGCTTTCAACATGAAGTCCCAGATTCAAAGTAGTAATTTTAAATGGATATATTAAGTAAATACCCGTATACTGTATGTGCAACATGCACCAGCTGCACTTAGCCTGTTCAGTTAGAGATTAACTGACAGGCTTCCTCTTAATATTCCATTCATTTTAAAGAAACACTGATGCTATAATAATTTAAGGTCTCAAATATATAAATTAAATGTTCATAAATTTACATGCCAAACACATAAGTATGTAAACCAAGTGTCTGAAATAGTACAGGAGAACAATCCTGAAACCATTTTGACTCTTCCAAATTGACTTCAAATGTTTCTCTGCAAGGAGGAAGGAAATGGGAAAGCCTCTCCATTGTCTTTTGCTTACCTGTCCTTCGGGCATCTTTGCATATGAATAGGGTGAGCCTGTGACCTGGATTCAGGAATTAAAGTATTTACCATCAGGAAAGAATGGCCGGGCTGCCCAAGTAAGCAATCACTGGCCATTGCCAGGTATCCTGGCAGACAGGATTTCTGTTGTAGACCACCGCCTTCTGTGATGTATGTATGATGTTTTGGGGGGTGGTCTTGAGCTACAGGGTGGGCACTTTCAAAAGTCTATATAAGGGCTTGCACACCTTTGTTCTGGGTTCCTCTTCCCTCCTGCGTGTGGTGAGTGAGGACCCTGTTTCAACAGTTTAATAAAGATCAGGCTTACTAACTGCTTTGCTTCTCAATACTCTCTGGTTGGCCTCTGTTATTTTCTCCTACCGATAGGGAACCCACTTATGGGGCTCCTGGATAACTCATAAGGCAAAAAGAACAGATTTTGTTTGTTATTGTTTAGTCGTTTAGTCGTGTCTGACTCTTTGTGACCCCATGAATGAGAGCACGCCAGGTACTCCTGTCTTCAGATTTTGTTTACATCACTGATATATCTCCTCATGGGCTGTGTGTGCAGAGGAGACTGTGGAACAGGAGAGAGAAAGATGCATTGGGTTGGGGGGGGGTGATCTGTGTGGAAGAGAAACCAGAGAAGGAGAAGGGGGCATAGCAGTGGGGGTAAAGATGAAAGCGGGGCTGTAAAGGGGACTGCATAAGGGGGTTATGGTTTCATCATTGGAAAGAAGGTGAAAAGGGTGCTGTGTGGTTGCAAGGTGTGGGAGGAGGAAGATGCAGGAGGTTGCCATGGGGTGTGTGTGTGTGCAAGGGAGGATTGCACAGAAAGAGAGGCCGGAGGTATGGACTTGGGAGGTGAAGATGGGCACAAAGTGGGGCTGAAGTAGTGGCTTTTGATATGGGGTTGGGGAACTGAAAACAGAGCTTAATAGTTGCATGGGGGGTAAGGAAGGGGCAGTGCTATGCGATTGTTGGGGGGTGAGTGCAGGGATGAGTAGAGTGAGCGGGGGCACAGCCCCCAGTTATAATAAAATAGCTATGGAGCTGTGGCTGCTGCTCAGGCGTGCCATGCAACAACCAAAACAGCTGGTTACAGTGCAATGATTACTGAACCAGTAT